CAGATATTTTTCTCTGGAGTTTAGAAAGCACAACACAAGTCTGTTTGGATTTATGCAGAAGAGTCATCTTCAGTCTCTAAGATTGGTGGAGAGCTTTGTTTGACAGGTTTGCTTTTTCAAGTACATGCGTTTTAATTTAATTATACTGTATGATCTATGGCACAATTTTGTCAAAATCTCAATTTCTTCTAGCAAAATGTATCCCTGTTCTTATTGTGCAAGTGCTGTTTTTTTAAATAGGAATATATCAAAACAAGAATATTACTGCAGGTTTAAGTCGCTTTGTAGCAGAAGGTAACTTCAAGATGGACTCCCCATGTCTGCTGCTATTGCCAGGATTGAATGTTTCTGCCACACAGTGCCAAAGGATGGTGGTGGAATTTGTCAGAGCTCTCTCCCTGGTATGATTTGGTGGTGTGTGTGATTGCTTTTATTATTGAGCATTAAAGACAGCTGTTATGGTGTTTTAACCAATCAGTTTCAAGTGTTAAACACAGCCAGCTAATACTTTTATTTCAGTGTTCACATGATTGACAGTAGTGGTGAAGAGCCAAATAACATTGTACCATCTTTTAATTTTTTCAGTAAAGGTACTTCAACCTCGAAGTAATAACAAAAGAATATAGACTGCCCATTTTGCTTCAAGGTCAAAGATCTTAATGCTGTTTTGGCAAGTCCTATTAAATTATAATTTTTCTGAACATGGCTACAAACAAGATTTTTTTCTCTCCAAAACTCACATCTGGAGGTTTATGGTCACATTTTTGTTGACTTAAATCTGTGTTTACAGACATCACGAGAAATTACTGAGAAAAAAAAAAATCACATTTCTTCTCCTTAGTCAACACAGCCTGCACAATACACAGCCTGAGTAGCTTGATGGAGGTAAGATGTCCCTCTTGAAAAACATGCTTTCAGAGCTTCAGCATTAAGACTTTTGAAAAAATGTAAACCAAAAGCAAAGTCGTATATTTTCTTTCTGTTTTGTTTGATTCAAATTCAGTTCAGTGATCTCTCGGTAAAGGATTGAAGAGCTGTCGAGAGAAACCGAACAAGCTTTGTTTACTTGCTGACTGAGGCTTTTAAGGTGAATGCAGCAGAAAGAATAACACCTGGCAAAATTCCTCAGTATCCTTTTCTAACTATGAGTCACCTTGTAAGTTCATTTGACAACAGCTCACACTTAGTGTGTGTTTAGATTCTTTTATACATCTCTGTGCTGATGTAAAGAAAAACGTGATCATTTTACTGAGAGAATAGCTATCTGTCAGTGTGAATTCCAGCATGGAGCTGATGAAAAATTCTCACAATGTGAGCTCTGGTGATGGTGAGGATGTGGCTAAGAAAATCAAGAAAACCTCTGCCAGCACTGCCAGCTCGGCCTACCACAGTTTTTCTGATGAGGGTCACCCTGCTGGGCTGAGTGACAGTGGGGAGCCACCCTCCCTCCAGAGCAGCATCAAGAGTGGAGAAGAAAGTTTAGCAAAGAGGAGAAAAAGGGAAAGTCATTCTACTGAGAGTTGCAACAGGTACGTGTTCAAAATGTGATCTTTTTAGCATTTGTTTTATGAATAACATTAACAGCTTGAGGAAATACTTTTATGAATTTTGGAGAACACATGTGTGAAAGGTGTTACTATTCCTCAAAGAGTGCTTATTTACACACGTGGACAAAATTGTTGGTACCCCTCAGTTAAAGAAGGAAAAACCCACAATTCTCACTGAAATCACTTGAAACCTACAAAAGTAACAATAAATAAAAATTTATTGAAAATTAAATAATCAAAATCAGCCATTACTTTTGAATTGTTGATTAACATAATTATTTAAAAAAAACAAACTAATGAAATAGGGCTGGACAAAAATGATGGTACCCATAACTTAATATTTTGTTGCACAACCTTTTGAGGCAATCACTGCAATTAAACGATTTCTGTATTTGTCAATGAGCGTTCTGCAGCTGTCAACAGGTATTTTGGCCCACTCCTCATGAGCAAACTGCTCCAGTTGTCTCAGGTTTGACGGGTGTCTTCTCCAAATGGCATGTTTCAGCTCCTTCCACAGATGTTCAATGGGATTCAGATCTGGGCTCATGGAAGGCCACTTTAGAATAGTCCAACGCTTTTCTCTCAGCCATTCTTGGGTTTTTTTGGCTGTGTGTTTTGGATCGTTGTCCTGTTGGAAGACCCATGACCTGCGACTGAGACCAAGCTTTCTGACACTAGGCAGCACATTTCTCTCCAGAATGCCTTGATAGTCGTCAGATTTCATTTTACCTTGCACACATTCAAGACACCCTGTGCCAGATGCAGCAAAGCAGCCCCAAAACATTGCTGAGCCTCCTCCATGTTTCACCGTAGGGACAGTGTTCTTTTCTTCGTATGCTTGGTTTTTGAGTCTATGAACATAGAGTTGATGTGCCTTACCAAAAAGCTCCAGTTTGGTCTCATCTGTCCAAAGGACATTCTCCCAGAAGCTTTGTGGCTTGTCAACATGCATTTTTGCAAATTCCAGTCTCGCTTTTTTATGATTTTTTTTCAGCAGTGGTGTCCTCCTTGGTCGTCTCCCATGAAGTCCACTTTGGCTCAAACAACGACGAATGGTGCGATCTGACACTGATGTACCTTGGCCTTGGAGTTCACCTTTAATTTCTTTGGAGGTTGTCCTGGGCTCTTTGGATACAATTCGAACGATCTGTCTCTTCAATCTGTCATCAATTTTCCTCTTGCGGCCACGTCCAGGGAGGTTGGCTACTGTCCCGTGGGTCTTGAACTTCTGAATAATATGAGCCACTGTTGTCACAGGAACTTCAAGCTGTTTAGAGATGGTCTTATAGCCTGCACCTTTAAGATGTTTGTCTATAACTTTTTTTTTCGGATGTCCTGGGACAATTCTCTCCTTCGCTTTTTGTTGTCCATGTTCAGTGTGGTACATACCTTTTCACCAAACAGCAGAGTGACTACTTGTCTCCCTTTAAATAGGCAGACTGACTGATTATGAGTTTGGAAACACCTGTGATGTCAATTAAAGGACACACCTGAGTTAATCATGTCACTCTGGTCAAATAGTTTTCAATCTTTTATAGAGGTACCATCATTTTTGTCCAGCCCTATTTCATTAGTTTGTTTTTTTTAAATAATTATGTTAATCAACATTTCAAACGTAATGGCTGATTTTGATTATTTAATTTTCAATAAATTTTTATTTATTGTTACTTTTGTAGGTTTCAAGTGATTTCAGTGAGAATTGTGGGTTTTTCCTTCTTTAACTGAGGGGTACCAACAATTTTGTCCACGTGTGTACATTATGCAACTCCACATAGCATCAGGATTTTTTATTTTTCTATTGAGGTCTATGGGATTAAAGGAATTTGACAGTGAGTTGGCTTTTGTAATGGTTGTATCAGGTGCATTTTTAACCCTTTGACACCAATTTGACACTAGAATTCAAGACATCCGCTACCTCTCAGACTGCATCGGAGAACAGCGTGCATTCCTCCTACGCCAGTTTGTGTATATGTAAGATGTATCTAGGAACCTATTGCAAGCAAAAGGTGATGAAAGCAGCAGCAGTAGCGAGGGCAGTGACGACTGGAGCAGCAGTAATGAAGATGCCAATTAAAATTATGATGCACTTCCTGGGGCCACTGTACTGGGTTGAATTCAAAGTGTATTTGTATTGTATTAATTTTGCAATTTCAATAAATTTTTGAACATTTTTACAGTTTATTTCTGTTGTCGCTAATTTGCATTATACCTTAAAATTTTATCTATACTATGGGCTATAGATATATTAACAACCTACACTTAATTTAGCATCAATTTGAAAGCAAAAACACTGATAATTATTTTTTAACTATAATTTTAAAACAATACAGGCAAAAATAAAGGAGGTCACCGTAAAAACTATCTATTTGTCTCTTTTCAGTCAAACCAAACTTTTGAGGTGCTGCAAAATGTATCAAGAAGCACCTTTAGTCATGCAGCAATTTAGCCCAATTCCAGGTCAAAGGAATATCCCCTTCCCCTAAAGAGTAAGATGACTGGACTTTTAAGTGTATATCTAGTCTTACAACTCAAACCATTTTAAGCCAAAATTCTGCCTACAGGAACAACTGAAACTCAACAGTCAGTGCATATGAGAAGTTAAGTCAAGCCTTTGTTATAGCTCAGTTAGTCAGATTATCTGGACTACTGATAAGGTCAAACAATAAAAACACTGCTGTCTTCACAGCTCTGTACTGTTTGTCTGTACAAAAGGAAACTTTAATCTCTTTACCCCCTCTCTTCATCTGTTGAGGTTTTGTTTACTACATGGCATCCTAACAACACATTTATGCTACTAAATTCCCATCTCAAAGCCTGGCATGCAAACATGAGAGCATGTGCAGAGTCAGTCCAATAGAGCCGTGTACATGGAAGAGGAAATCAATCCCCAGCTGCATTAACTAGATAGGTCAGTGTGATTTCAGTCAGACTGAGGTAATGAGTTGATTTTTTTAAAGGTACTGAGTGTTAATCTAATGGTCATCTCATGACATTTTTACCCAGAAAGCATTTTTCCAAAAATGATCATTCTATATTCTTAGAACTTGAATGATTAAGTCATTTTTTATTGCCCCTGAAGTCCAGACACCAACACTGTTATGAAAAAGATGACTATATGGCATATTTCTCTTAATGCTGTTAATGCTCTCTGTAAAGCACTTTGCATTGCACATAACTAATGGTGCTTAATAAATAAATAACTGTCTGACTCAGGCAAAGAAAAAGGGACGAAAATGATGAAAGCACAACTTCAGATGTCAAATTGCAGCATATAAAGACAGTAGTGCTAACTTTAGCCAAGAGCTAATGGACAGTGTCTATAGTACGCTCACCTATGGTAACACTTGATGGATCATTATATTTTGGTTCAAATCATATATTTTCATTGATATGGAAAAGAGATTCAGAAATCTCTTCTTTTAAAATGTTCTCATTTCACTGAAAGGAGAATTACGGGCCAAAAATTATTCAACTTCATGGCATTTGGATTTGGTAAAACCTCTGTAACCAAACAAACAGCCTGCCTTTTACAGAATTACGGTGCAGCACAGAAAATACATATCCCAGCTTCAGTCTGGTGGATCATCACAAGAGAAGGAGGAGATATGATGAGGAATATTCCAGCACAAAAGAAGTCAGAGGCCTTCAGTTCAAGGAGAACATTTCTGGATGAAAGAGCATTGAGAATCTGCAGACAGATAACATCAATAACAGATATCACACAAAAATATTCCAGTTAGTGACAGTAATGTCTTAAAACTGAAGTTTCGAAGCATCACTTTTAAATCTGGCACCAAAAAAACACAAGACAACATCAGCAAGACTCTCATGTCCCCTTCTGTGCTGTGTTGTGTTTGTCTCCAATTATGCTTTAATTCTATTTAGTCAATGCTGGGACTTCATCGAGATGTCTGCCCAAAGAGGGTGTACAGAGGGGACTTGTTTTGAGTATTTAAATGATAAATGATTGATTCACTGGTTGATTTGTGCTTTTTAGTTTGACTCATTTGTTTATCTAAAGGTACTACATTTTTCTCCACACAATCATAAATATGCAGAAGTATATCAGATGAAGCATTTACATTTTAATGCAGTGGTTTAATTTATGAAAACATTGCTTGTAATATTCATTTTGAGTATGGCAACTTTACATGGAAAGCATAAACAAGGTGCCTTACTCTGATCTTAATCTGAGGCCTCTGAAAGTCTGGGGTCGCCTCTGCGCTGAAGCTTAGAGTTAATTGCAATATCTCAGCCTGTCGCAGGGGGGCGCGGTTCTACGCCAGGTGCGCCTTCCTCCCTCCCGCACCTTCCCATCCCAGCGTTGCTGCTGCTGCTGAGTCTGACTGCTCCGTCGCCCCCTCCTCCTCCTCCTCCACCACCACCTCCTCCACCTCCCCCTCTTCTTCTTCGTCTTCTTCTTCTTCGCAGGAGGAGCTGACTTGATGCGCATAATAAATCATCTCTGCATGATTCCTTCTCGAGCCCAATTTCAGCCTCGTGCGTGTTGGATTAGAGAGCGTCAACACAGGCGATAGTCGAGCCTCTTTAACTGGGGAGGTTTCAAATGTGATTCAGCGCAGCAAACAACGTGGGTGTTATGTGTGTGTGCGTGTGTGTGTATTTTTTTTCCGTTTGGGAGTGGAGAAAGGGGAGAGCAACGATATGAGACGCGTGTGTTTATGCCTCCTGCGTTCCCCGTTATCTCTTACTGACCACCGGCTCTTTTTTTCACCTGTATGAACGACCTTGCTATTGTGACCGAAATTTTCCTAACGAGGTTTCCATGGAGGATCAATGTGTCGCTTTTTCTGCGAGGGCTGAATTTGGTTGCTGCTGGTCTCAAGATATTTCAAGATAAGAGGTAAGACAATTAAATATATATATATTTAGTATTTCACCTTAGAGCGCGCTTGGCATTTGTGAACATGTACACACATTGAAATCTAAATTATTTACACAGTGTTATTTATATGCTTAATTATTTACCAGGCTCACATGTCGGCCCTGTCTTGCGTACTATCCGCGAATTACCAATTCCTAATGCAATATTTGATAATTGTTCAAGGCTGGAGCAACGTGACGTGCCCTCCCAACTGCAGGCAATTCCTCCACACTGAGTAGTCTCGTTTTAGAGGGGCATGCACCCAGACACTAGGCTCTCTGATATATGTTCATTTTTTTTTTTTACTAACAAGAGCTTGTTTATGGCACAGCCTCCCCTTTCTTTGTCAAACTGCTGCAGACCTGCTGTTACATTACTCACATGGTGGTATTATAGCCCCTAAAAGCTCCTGTGGTTCCTACCTGGTGTGATGCACACACACTGCAGCCTGGATTCACTTCACCTCACCCTCTTAAATGTGTTTGCTACAGGCGCACACCAACACATTCTACAGGGACAAATCAGAGACTGTGCACTTACAGAAAAAAATTATACATATATATATATATATATATATATATATATATATATATATCCAAGGTTTCTCAAGGATCCTCTTGAAAGGTTAAAAAAACCCTCAAGAAGTGTTGTGGCAGTGATGGCTGTATACCCACTTAGACACAGTAAGTGCAAAAGGTGCACATACATACCTTTTCTACCCTGCAACATTCACCAGGTAATTGCATACTGCTATGCCACGATGTCAGCTGGAATATCTGTGATGAATGCAGCTCAGGCCTTCAAAGTAAGTACACTCCCACTCTGCCAGCTGGGCTATTTGTTCAACCAGCGTGTTACTTGGATGCAGGCAGGGTGTGATGGAGGTGGGAGATATCGTGATTATACATTATTTTCATTATTTCTTTTCCCCTGTCAGTTAAACCATTGGTGTCTCCTTACAGACAGGGACCATCTTTGATTGGGAATGATTCACCCTGCAAAGCTTCCTCACCACCTCTTATCACTGTCGTCGTTAGCACCATTATCCACGGGAGTGTGTGTGTGACTTTGGGTGTGCATGTGGGTGGGAGCCTACGTGCTTGTGCATGTGTGTGTTCATGCACATGTGAGCAACTGAGTGATCTGCTCCCTGTAGTATCACTGACAGATTTGTGTAACTCACTATTTTGCATTTGTAAATTATTTATTAAATGTGCCTACAAAAGAGAACCACATTGCATCAGCTGTTACACATTCCCATCCCTGACACACAAAAAGCCCCATTACAAATGCAAACCAAGACATGCAAAGTCGACAGTAGTGTAATACCCTCTGTACCTTCCCAACACCAATCCTGAGTCCTGAGGTGCCAGCAGTTTGCAACACTGGGTGCCTATCACTGAGGTATGGCATGCAGGACTCTTCCAGAGAGGAGGCATACCAATCCAATTTAGTCGACTTCAGGGAAAGAAAAGAGGACCAAGCGGACATGAAAGGCGAGGAGGAAAAATCCTGGCAGAGACCCCACGTGTGTGATTTGACATCCAGGCAGCTAACAAACAATTAGACCCTCCATAAGTAGCGCTCTGAACCTGGCTCGCCCCGGGATTAGGCCACAAATGAGCTGCTCATTGTGGCTTATGTCTTCTAAATGGAAAGTGTGTGTGCGAGTGTGCGCGAGTGTGTGTGTGTGTGTGTGTGGGGAGGCAGGGTGTTATATATGTTGTACATGGTGTGAAAGTGAGTTTGGTGTGTAGGTGTGTGTGGGTTGTGTGACATTTAGCAGATTGGTGTTATTATCTGTCTCTGCCCTTACTATATCTTGAACACCTCTTGAAGAAATTTGTGTTTGTGTGGTTCGGCAGTGTGCAGATCTGCTGATTTAATGCATGCTGGCTCACACTGATCAACACAATTCCTGCACACTCTTGTACATGCGTGTATGACTGCTCACCTGACTGCTGTGTTATTGTCAGCTCTCTGTTGTGTGTATGTTTGACATTTCATAATTTCATCATTACTTGCTCGGTATCCTCTTGCAAGAAGTGGGTGCATCGCAATTTGCAACACATGCTAGGAGCAGACAGACACTTGCCCTTGATTATGGACCTGGGTGGAATGGATGCCTCATCAGGCTGTCTTGATTCACCCCAGCATGTGGGGAGACACATGCTGCTGTGGGTGAATCTAATTGATTGGATGGCACCCAATTCCCAGGTCCAAGTCTCTCCTCAGGCAGCCAGAGTGAATCCGTCCAAGTGAAGGATGAGCTAAGGCGTTGGTTTCTCCCTTAATAGATTGGCATGGGCTTCCTCCCATATGCCTCTGGTATCACCCTCAGACATCTCCGAGTGCAAGTTGGCCAAACAATAGGGCACAAAGTGACACTGCCTGGATCCTCAGATTGGATTTGTGATAATGGACAGAAGGAATGAGACTCCATATTCAATTTTGTAATCAAACATCCATGACTTTTCTTTTGCTGATAGATGATTAAATCCATTGTACAGTATGTAGCAAAGAGTATGTGGATAACATATCCCCAAATGTTTCTGTTGTACAAAAGTCAAACCAAAATAACCCCTGCAGTGGTGTTGACATCTTGGATTGGCGATATCAACTAGGTTGTATGGATCACGTGGGTGGATCCAAGGTATCGACATCTTGCTTTAATTTGCCAAAACACACATTTGAACAGAAAAAATCACTCAGATTAGTTTATTTGTGTCGGTTTGGAGCAACAATGGTAATGTAAACGTCAAGTGTTACTTTATTTTCCCTTTCACTGCTCCTCTTTCACTGATAATCCAGCAATTACACAGCGTCAAGTCAACAGAAATGACAATAATGTCAATCTTCACAACCCCTTATGTAGCATTAAAAAAAAATCTAATTAAAGCAAAATCTGTTAAGAAAATGAGCACCCAGCTTGTTTAGACTTTGCTTGTCACCCATCTTAGCAGTCACCCAGCTTGTTCAGACTGCTAAAATAACAGAACCTATGTTAACTTGTATTGGGATCGTAAAGTTTCAACTGTTTCTTATCTGTAATCATGGAGGATTTTGACTGCAGCTTGTTGGTGGGGGAAGCCCCATATATTTGTCTTCATTTTGGAGTATCTGTCATGGCATCCATTGTTACAGTCTTTAATTAAAAAGCCCACTGTTGAAAGTTGGGATGAGTTTGCTGAGTTTAGTATTTCACAACATAAGTCTCATCCCAACAGGTCAAGCTCCCCTCTCACGGAGCACGCCGGTGCCATTTTAAAGCTTATTGGATGAAACTCTCATTTGCCCTTGGCTGCCAAAGATGACGTTGCCATGGAAACAGCTTCTACTGTTATCAATCATCGACTGTCTGGCAGGTAAACCACCTTTTTATAAGAGTAATGATTCTTTCACGTTCGGACATTTACAGTTGCAGGGATGATGGCTGAAGAGAAGAAAATCCTGTCAGTGTCAGAGATGATAGGATGGCCCTGGTTTAAAGAAACACTCCTCAGTATTGACTTCCATTCACAACACAGAAACAATACTCTCAATCTTCCTCCTCACTGCTCTTTGACTGTAACACCAAAGAGGCTTTTTCTTTTATTTGTTTTTTGTCATCCACACTATTTCCTTTTGCACAAAATTAACATAAAATGTAAATCAAAGACCATAGCTTCTTTGACTTTAAGAATTGTGTATATAAACGTGTTTTTGTCACTGAATTTCTTTCACTGACAACATATACTGCAAGGATAATATCTTTAGATGCTCAAAAAATATATATTTCCAAGAGACTGTTAAGTAATATACCAATTAATGATTCAGAAACCCCCCATTTATTTTCTGCTCTTATTTGCAACTGCTGAAATTTCTCCTCTCCCTGTGCCAGAGAGGTCCTCCTGGCACAGTAGAACATTCTCAGCTGTTCATTTTATCCACTTTATTCTTTCAGAGGAATCAGCACTTCTTATCACCTCCCCATAAAATGAACCATATCAAGTCCTCTCCCATGTTTAGTAATGTCCCACCTCCCATTTTTGAAAGAGCCCTTCCTATTAGACCCAAATATCCCATTTCCTCCAGAAGAATGTGAAATTATGGAGGCCAGACTCTATCAAAAAATGGCACTTTTTTTTCCTGTTACTACGCTCAGGCTGTTACTGTTTTTCTCTGACAGATTGTCTGGACAGCGGATCGTACCATGGTCCAAGATGGAGGATGGAGCCAGGTGACTTGTTTATCCCTGTCGACTCTATAGAGGAAGAAGCTACTTTGACTTGTGACGCTAAGGGAATACCGCCTCCTCAATACAGGTAAGAGCACACTTGGTTTCAGGAGCATGCTAAGATAAGTGTGGAAAGTGGAGGATAGAAATATCTTTTGCAGTAAAAAAAAAAAAGAAGTAGTTTGGCAGTTTGATCTCACAGGCTTTTATCTCTTGTTTGATTTTTATTGTCTCTTTTAAAGTATGTCCAGCAGCTAGTGTGCACTATCTCCCAAGTCTGCCTGACTTTAACCACTGAAAGCGTTTCCTTTGCTGTCTATGTGATGCCCATATGTCCGATTGAAGTGTTGTGCCATGACTTGAGTCTGCAGTGGTGGCTCTCCTGTTATTCTATCCTTAAAGTGCAAATGTGGAAAGTTAGAAAACACTCTTCCATCTTGGACACCTGTAGCAGATGTCTCGCGCATAGATTGCAATGTGGTTTGTTTATATGACGAAACAGGAGTACATACCTGGTGAATGCAGTATGGACAGCAAGCGTCTCTTGCTGCCTGATGCAACACAATATCTGACACTTGCATCCTGTCATGATTGAGCCATCACATGTGCTGAGTGCAACGACCAGAACATGAATCACAACCTTCCGTTGCCATGAGACAGAATACCAAAGATGAGATCTGTAAAAACTATTTAATTCCCTCTGAATGTTCCTACTTACTATTAAGTTGACTGAAAGTATTGACTTTAAGATAGTTTTATTGTTTCAAAGTGATTTATTTGTGCAGCAAGAAAAGAAAAGAAAATTGTATTTATTTATCTGTTTATCTGACAGGACCAATACATGTAGGCATTGTTGCAGCCAATTAAAGAGCAACTGAGGCAGTGGATAAAGGACTTCCAGCCATGGCTAATTTGCAGTCCTTGTCCCTAGTGAGGCTGTTTAAAATAAGGCACATGATACAAAACTGTGAAAAACATAAAAACTAACATTATAGCCAACACAGACAAGGAATCACACATTTGAATAAAAACCAACAGCAAAGCAGACATTAAACAATCACTTATATATATAAAAAAAATTAACAATAAACGTGAAAACATAAATAGGTAGCGCCACCTATATGTGTGAGAGCGAACAGTAGAGCAAACATGAAGAATAAGTACGTGAGTGTTTACACATTTGCCTTCTTTTTAGCCTTAGTTTAATAATTAAAGCTTCGGGGTCAGTTCATGTTTTTATTTCTGATGGCAGGAATTTCCAAATCTGTGGACCTTTAGTTGCAAAAGAAGACTGGCAAAAGGCTGTCTTGTGCTTTGCTGGTTTATTGTCTCCACCAACTGCAGCTCTTGTAGTAGCTCCATTACTTGAGTATTTTTCAATTATTTCACCAACCAAGGCCCAATAAATAATACTTTTGGAGACTTTTGCAATGGTGCCATTTTTTTAAACATTTTTTTTTTTTTTGGCTTTTGATCCAAGGTTTTAGAGTTTGTTTAATGACAGCATGGGCTTCATGACTAAATGGATGACCTGGCCTCAGACAGTGAGACAATATGAAAAGTGTGATAAAATCATAGAGTGCATGTATAACTGGGCAGCCTTTACAATCATGTTATTCGAAAACAGTTCAGATTAGTCTTAATTGTTTGTTATACTTTCTTGATACATGCTTCATATTTTAACTGGGAATCCAAAACTACACCTAGATATTTAATTGTTTACTTTCTGTATTTCCGAACAATAGTTATCTCAGAATCATTACGTGGTTAATGCCTAATAGAAAAACATGGTTGGTTGCATGCAGCAACAGTGTCCTTATTATCCTACTTCTGAGTCAAATGAACATTAGACTTAGCATTTTCACACACATCAAAACCTCAAATAAGCCATTGTATGATTGTAAAACATCTCATTAAACTTAAGATTTTTTTTTACTGTTAAATCTAAACAGAAGTTCAAGATACAGAAAAATGCTGTAGCATAAAGTCATCTTCCCTTTAACTTTTTTCACTTACAACACTCAATTCCATAACACTACCAAAGCCCACATGGTGCTGTGGTTACTTTGTTTCTGATTTCTTCAATTTGACTTTTTCCTTTTTCCCTCAGCTTCTTGTGTCTGGTCAGCCCCAAAACACAAATTTAAAGTTTAGTGCTTCCCAAATAAATTAAGAAATAATAAAAACATCATCTATACTTTTAATAACACTGTTGGAAACTTGTATGAAAGCCACACTGTCAGCAGAAAGAGATGAAATCATAAAGTTTATGAGTCTGCCTGACTCCTTTTTTCCCATTTGATTTTATCTGGAAACATTGCTCTTGCTATTCAGAATTAATTATCATTGTTTCGGTGCTTTAACCAATCAAAAACAAATGTATACTACAGCAAGCTTTGGAGCTTCCAATTTTGTAAAGCCTATATCATCTACCATATTTACAGCATGGTAAACAAGGATTTATGAACATTAAAGAACAGGGTAGTGTTTGCTTTCCTGTTAATTTTCCCAAATTGGGCTGAAATGCAAACAAACACTCCAAGCAGTACGATTTTTTTTCTTATTTACTCTGACAAACACACCTGCCAATCTGCCTCCAGTCTTGCCAGATATTATCTCAGTCGCACACATGTAGAGCTTCTTAAACCTCCTCTTATGACATGCCATCAGACCAACTCAGGTTGCCAGACAGCAGTTGGCTCCTCCTAGCATTGATTACCAGAGTCTTTGGAGTTCAACAGTGGAATTAAGGCAGCACAGACGAGCTGAATGATAGCGGTGTGGAGTGCGTACGCTCATTATTTCAGGCTTTTCACGTTCCTTCTCTGAGACCAGGTATTTCCATGTACTGATTAAAGGTGAGATGAGCATGTTTAACGTGGTGTCTTGTCAAGCGGGGCTGTGCTCGGCTCTGCATGCCCTCAGCACCTCTCTAGCTCCTCTCTTGAAGTGTAAATGGGCTCACACTGCTCCCTCCTCCTCCTCCTCCTCCTCCTCCTTCTTTTTTTCCCCCTTCTCCTTTCCCCTGCCAGTCACTGACAAAGAGATGAGACCATCATTGAATGCACACTATAGCAGCATAAAAAGCCAGGCAAAGAAACCGCATCTCGCTCAGAAAAAATCTCTCCTCCGCAGCAGGTTCGAAAAGTTATGCGGTTGGATTTTTTTTTTTTAAATCAAAACACAGGGTGACTTGGCCAACCTTTACTTGACCTGATGGTTGAAACCTGTGGCTCTCCACCGCAGGATCATCTGAAATACTTGAGATTCTCTGTGGTCAGATGGGCAGACAACATGTGTTCACAAGATGAGACTCAAGCAGAGTAATTCAGTTTCAGAGTTGGGATTCAATCACCCGCACAATGTTCAGAGCACCACTGAACAGCGGAGGCACTTCAGAGCAGGTCAAAAAAAGGTGAAAACCGGTGACTCTGGGATAAAAAGCTGAACACATGTGAGTAGGCACACAGGGACATGTACTTCTGGTAGCAAGGTTGATCTAAATATACAGAAGAACACTTGTATTAAATGTAAATGTCCATAGTATGGCAGCAGGGGTTCAGTCAGGGGCTCTGATTTATTTTTCAGGATTTCATTTTGAGGGCTTGGCTTGAAAGCTTTTGAAAAGTTGCCCATCGTGACCTTCATGTTTTCCTCATAAGGAAGCTGAATAGAAAACTGTAGCTGAATGGGGAAAAATATTCTATGCTTCGAGATAAAAGATCGAACCTTCTTGAAAAGTGTCCTTGAACTCATCAATTCTCCATTTTTGAATAGCATTCAGAAAGAGATGGAAAGTTGCAGCGGCCAAAAAAAGGGGGAATGTCTTCTCACATAATAACAGAGCGTGTTTAATTCATTGAATTAACCTTATGTTTTTAAGAGTTCTCTCAGGTGCTGCATTTATCTGATTCTCAGTCTGAGCCTTCAGCATTTTTTTATATTATTCCCACGCCTGGAAGGTGTGGGAAAGATGAAACAGCAGGTGAAAAGGGTGTAAAACTCATCATTTGTTGCATCAGCCTTACGTTACTCCTTGTCTAGTGCTAATGTTCTAGGCTAATAAGAAGTCAGAGGTGGAATAATATCACATTACTTAAATATATTGAGACAGAGCAGATATGGTTATGGCTAAAGAGATGATAATATCAAGCATGGCTCTGGAAACATGTTTCTTACAGTATGCTTGTCTTAAATTTCACAGGAAAGGAACTTCAGCGGTAAATAATGGTTCAAAAAAATGAAAACAAAAACAATATAGTCTTGAAGAACAAAGTCTAGCAAAGAAAATTTCAATAAACATGAATAGTAACACCTGTAAATACAAGTATAGCAGAATTAAAGATAGGATATAGCCTTTAAAATATTTTAGCTGTCTTTAAAAATACTCCCACTTCCTTGCAGTTTATACAATGTCACATGAAAAGAATTCAGCACTGTCAAAGAAAGAGAAATACTTAAGTCTCAAACTTTGACAGCAAAGTTGAAGCTCTGCTGGAGGGAATTAATGGCAAACTCCCTGCTGTTGGTGCTTCAACCTGCAGGCCTGTGAATTCCTGTACCGCAGCACAACCACACAGTGTATTATTCTTGCTCCAAGTTGAGTTACTGCGGTGAATTGTGTTCTCCGCTCACCTCCTGTCACACCACCTTGGTTGGTAGAAAGAAATGGACGGTGCATTTTGCCAGGGACTGATGGTGTCTTTGCCCTCACAGATGGTCATTGAATGGGACTCTCATAAATCTGGGCCTGGATCGCCGGCGGCGTCTGTCTGGGGGCAACCTCATTATAAGCAGTCTGGACCGCTACCAGGATGTAGGGATGTACCAGTGTATGGCGTTCAACACTGTAGGAGCGATCCTCAGCAGGAGAGCCAGTCTCCAGTTTGCCTGTAAGTTGAAATCAGTGTTTGTCACTTTTCACTAAGAAATGGAACAGAAGTGTAGCTGCACTTAGCAAATAATGCAGACGCACTCTAAACTGGGTGGGCATTTTTTGCAATATTTATCAGAGTGCTGTAACATTGTTTTGAAGCTACATTAAATGTTGAAATAACATGGGAGCAGTCTGAGTGTGAGGACTGTTCTTTACTTGTGATCACACATGCAAACTAAGAATGACTTCTTAGCTCCATCAAAAGTCATTTTGTCCTTTATTGGATGTTCTCAAGGGAAAAGTAGTCTGTCATGCTGCTTAAAAGCTTATAAAGAATATGTGAGGAAGGCCTGATGCCTGAGGAATGTGGTGTTTACTTTAATATGCTGCTACTGCCATAAGACAAGAACCAAAGAGTAATGCCAATGAATAAAAGAATAAGTGAAAACATTGCTGTATATTACATCTGCAGTGATGTTGTGAATGAAAGAATGTTTTCTTAAGAGAACACATCCTCAACGGTGAAACCTGCAAGCATCTCAAATGAAAAAAAAAAAAAAAAAACTCCATTTATGTGCTTTTCATTAAGACTTCTTTTCATGCACATCACAACAAAATGTTTTTTTCACACCTTCTCCTGGTGGCATCTGGCTATGCAGATATTTTTGGTTTTATTTGACAAGCTTTTAAGATATGCACTGCCAAGAAAACGGAACAATGACATTTAAAGAGAAAACTCAGTACAAATAAGCTTTTGCAGAAATAATGGTCTGGTTACACTCCTCAATTTGCACACTTGTGTGTGCAAGAAAAAGGAATGGCCCTAGTTTAATGCAGTTTAGCCTTAAATTGACCCCCAAAACAACCTCATCTTACTGCTGTTATTAGTGTTGAATGTATTTCTTTGCAATTTTACTTCCCATTCCTGAGTGGTAGGGTTGTGTTGACACTAGAATTCACACTCAAATTCAATAATGCCCAGGCACAAAAGCTTACTCTGCAGTACTCTGCAGTGCTGGTTAAAAAAAAAGGCACCGCAAACTAGGGATGCATGGAAATGAAAATTCTTGTCTCAAACCAAAAATAAGGAAACCAAGGCGGAAAACAAATGATTAATGCCAATTATGAGTACCATTGTAATTATGGCTATGACGGTGTACTAGCCTCACTAAAATCAAGGTATTGCAATTGCATGATTTTATATTAAATTAATATTATTAAATTAATATTAATTCATGCAATTGCAATGTGAGTTTTGACTTCTTAAGTCAGTGTGTTGCTGCATGTTCTGTATACATCTTTAGATGGCGCACGCGAGTGAGGGGCAAAAACAACTGTTAAAGCTTTAAGAGAAGTGTTGTGAGCAGTAGAGCCGCAGCTAGAAAAAGAAGTAGCGACATTAGCCTGCGTCGCCATGTTTATTTCTGTTTAAGTTAGGGTTAAAGGTGAACCCCTAGCATCCGCTTGTATATTCGGCTGCAACATCTTCCACAGATCGACGCCACATAAATTGAACCTGATGTGAGGAAACTCTTTGCAGATGTACCTCCTCTTGAAATTCAAGCATTACATGCTTCATTAACCGCTATCCGTGGCTGTCACTTACAGTAAAATATGTCTACACCGCAGACGTACTGGCCCTTATCAAGACAAACACATGGGGACTGCGGTTCATGCTTGCGTCATCACGTCATCTCTTTCGGCTGGGTTGTTTCGGTTTCTTTCAACCAAATTTCCAGTGGCCGAATTTTCTCTGCATTTCTATTGCAAACCGATGACGACATTTGCCGTAACACCGAAGGCAAATGTATCATTCTTATGATTGCCTTAAAAATGAATATTGAAGCCTAAATACAGAAATATCTCCTCATCAGAGATCTTTTCCTTTACCTGTATTTTTCATTATTCTCAAAGGTTTACTGTGTCTTTGGGCATCAGCCATCAATACTTAATAGAAATGTTGACATTTCTATTGTCTCTGTAAGCCGTCCTGACATATGTTCGATTTGGGTGAAGTTAATTTTTGAGATAAGTCTAATAAATACTCCACCATGACTTCTTTACACCAGGTATAAGAAGCCCTAAGCTAACATGCATCCACACATTTATTTCATTCTGTTTTCTTGTGGTATATATGAATCTTTTCAGTTGGTTTCTCAAGATCTTGACCTGGTGTTAAATAAGTGTGACTAATATTCATGAAGTTACAAAAGCAAACAAACAACAATTAGGCTTAACTTCCTCTCAAGTGTGTGCAGTGGCAGCGTTGTGTGATGTGGCCTGGCCCACTACAGGGGCAAACGTGTTGTATTCTATTGTTTTCTCAGCAGATTATCTATTAGAATGACAAAACAAGCTTTGTTTTCTTGAGAATTAGATAGATTAGTATGTTTTAATGAAACAGCTCTATTGTTCCAGTATGACAAGAAAATCATGTTAAGATCTTGAGAAAACAACTAACCCTCCCCCCACACACGCACACACACACACACACACACACACACACACACACACACACACACACACACACACACACACACACACACACACACACACACACAGACACAGTAGACTTCATAGGTGCAGTTCTGCTTAGGGCTTCTATGCATGGCAGCTGAATCCACTATGATTGATCTGTATTGATACTGGGTGTTAAATATCTAAGGACTTTATTTAACTGAGTTAAATCCTGTCATAAAACTGCACTGGCTAAATTTACAGATCATCTATTTGATATGCATTCACAGCTTTGAGAACTGACAGGGGCATCTGAGCTTAGGTTGTATGACTTTGACCAACTTAACCCTTACATACTGTTCGAATCCTGTATCCTCACCGTATGCTCTGGGTCAAAATTGCCCATGTAGCAAGTATTTTCACCTAAGTTCTGACCCCAAAGTTTTTTATAATGTTTAAATGACCTATGCTACTTCAAAAAATGTTGATTTGTCCTTCCTAAATGTTCCAAAGAGCAGGGAAAGTGTATTTTTTAAGTTTGAACACCACTCGTTTTTGGTGAAATATATATTTTGGAGAAGAATATCTATTACACAGGATAATGTCATGTCATATTATGTAAGAAATAAAAGAATATAAAAGTCATAATGATAAAATTTGATATTTTTTTTTAACTACAAACCTTATACTGAACACTGTTCTTACTGCTTGTCACTTGTCCCACACTGGTAGATCTAAAATAAATCTATATAGATGCGGGTCAAATTCGACCTGTAACAGCCCCATAGGGGGAAAATGTGTAGCACATATACAAAAATACACATGAATATTTTTAAATTAATTTCATGTATTTTGGGCCACTTCAGAAAAATTTATCATGTTTCAGGCTCAAAGAATGACGTTTAGGGTATTTTCTACTGCTGTTAAAAGTCAAAACGGGTCAAATTGGACCCGAACAGTCTGTAAGGGTTAAATGATTTCAAATCACACTTTTTCCTCTGTATTTCTTAGACATATACACAACTATTTAGAACCTGCTCAAACCAACATTTTTTTCCCATGCCTTAATGTTTATACTTAACTTCTCATGTGGGCTGTGAATTCAGATTTCTTCACTGTATCCTGACACTAGCAAAACCCAGTAATAGTATGTGCGTGGTTTCTTTCTCTCTCCCTGTCTCTCTGGCTCTCGAGGCGGAAGTGCAATTCTCATGGCAGCTTTCAATAGGCTTGTGTCAGTGTCTTGCTCAAAGCTTTTTCCTCAGCTCTGCTTCACTCTGATATATGAGATCCTGTAGTGATCTTTTTTCGTTTCTTTTCCCTCATCAGACTTGGATCATTTCAAAGTCCATACCAGAAGCGCAGTATCAGTGCGAGAGGGGCAGGGAGTGGTGTTACTTTGTGGAACGCCCACTTCCTCAGGAGGTAAACTCTCTGGCCTTCATCTTTAGTGTTTCACAGGATTAAAGTATAATCTTGACACGGATGATTAGCCTTTTTTAATCGCATTTAATTCACTAATCACATTAAGTATCTCGTCTTGTGGTATCCACGATAAGCTCAAATGCGTTCTTGGTTGTCTTCCAGATCTTACTTATGCATGGGTCTTCAACGAGTACCCATACTTTGTTCAACAAGACAATCGTCGCTTCGTCTCCCAGCAGACGGGAAACCTTTACATAGCTAAGGTGGAGCCCTCAGATGTGGGTAACTACACCTGTGTGGTGATGAACAGCATCACAAAGGGCAAAGTTCAGAGCTCGCCCACGTCTCTGATCCTCCGGACAGATGGTAAGACGCAGCTTATGGCCACGATGTGACAAGCATGCCTTTCAGCCATGTATTAGGGACCTTTCCTTTCAAGGTGGCTTTAATCATCATAGTAGCGTGAGTGCTCTTTGTTGTGTCGTGCCTTGCTGTCATTGAGTCACTGAGTGCTAATGCCTGTAAGTAAATAAATGCTCTTCAATGTAGGCCAGCAAACAAAGCAACCAAATCTCTCTTTTGCTGACTTAGCTTTCTCATAATTCGCATTCCCCTTTAAAAGCTCTCCCTGTGCGCCGTACACATGAAGTCTCAGGCTCAGGTCCTCGGCAGTCTGTTGTTCTATTCTCTGTTATGCTTTCATAGAAAGACTGAATAAAGATTGCCTCTGGAATGAATAAAACATAAGCCATACGTCATTGGACCATTACATTGAGTGTTCCGGTGGCTCAACCAGTTAGTTTCCACTCAGTGTACTGTACATGTAGCTGCATAAATTTAAATCCCATCTCATCGCTCTCTGATCCTGGTCTCGACTGTCTCCCATGAATACTGATATTAACAATAAAACAGTGGAGTTTGGGTACTGCCCGCTCAAGCTTTGAAATAATAGATAAACAACCAGGCTGGCTTGAAAAACATGGTTTTGAATACACTGCACTCATTCCACCAAGAGGAGGCTGAAATTATTCCTTGTGGGTATTCCACTGCACTCTGGTGACTGCACACTTAACTGATGAACGACCGTGTTGGTTTCCCCATGGGGGAATGTTTGCTCACGTGTCTTTTATTTCCCTGTGTAAGTTTTTGCAGTTTTATTGTTTGGTCCATAATGCAAGCCATATTGCTTGTAAGTCATGAATAATGTAGGTCTGAGCAAGTTTTCTTGTGCCTGCCTCTTCATAGGAGTGATGGGTGAATACGAGCCGAAAATAGAAGTTAATTTCCCAGACAATGTACCAGCCGCAAAAGGATCAACAGTTACGCTGGAGTGTTTCGCCCTTGGGAAGTAAGCTGGATTCTGTCAAGCATGTTTTCAATCTTCTGCTGTCTTTCTCTCCAGATGAGGAACCCCTGGATCCCTGTGTATTAAAGTTAATGGGGCAATTATATTTCTCAAAGTGCAGCATCAAGCTGGGATTGGTCTGAAAACCATCTCAGATGGCTTTTTTGTTGCGGGATTGAGTTAACTTAAAACCTTTCATCCACAAAAAAATAAGGAAAGAAATAAAAAACACGACACTGAATAGACTTTAAGCTCTGTGGCTCACTTTATTGCAGGGTTATTACAGAAAACCTGTGTGACAATCGTAAAACTTCAAAAGGATGTGGATGTGAATCTACTCTGAGGCTTAACTCTACCTTTTTTTTGCTCAGCCCTGTCCCAGAGATCACCTGGAAGAGAGCTAACGGCGTTCCCTTCCCCAGCAAAGTCAAAATGAAGTACTCTAATGCTGTGCTGGAGATCCCGAGCTTCCAGCAGGATGACACGGGGGGATACGAGTGTGTGGCTGAGAACAAGATGGGCAAGAACACGGCCACGGGGAGACTGGCTTTCTATGGTAGGCTACTTATATTTCGTTTTGACTCGCTAAAACAACACAGTGACATGAAGTAATTGTAAAACTACAAACTCTGTAAGATTTCTGCTATGGTGAATTAGGCCTGGTTTAGGTTATGGGTCTTATGGGTGGTTTACGCGTCTCCCAACATTTCTGAGGAGAAATCTGGACAGGCTTTTTGTCCGTGATAAAACTGGCCCAGGTTACCTCGTAATCTTGGACAGTTGGAAGTAACTTCAAGTTTTTGTTCACAATACTTTTTTAAAAATCCAGCATGAGTTTTATGTATTTTGGGATGTATTTACTCCACAATCAGATGTTGCTTTCATGGAAATGCACCATTTTACTCCATTTACCTTTAGATATTGATGTTAACAGACCATTGCTAAATATATGTCAGCAAAAGAAAATAAAGGATTAGTTTTAGGGTTGAAGACATTTGCAAGAGTCACAACTTCAGTGCAAAAGCAAAAAAAAAAACTAATCACAGTTGGATTATTCACTTCAACTTTTTGGCTTTTGAGAGTCTGCATACAAAAATCCTAATAAAACTTTTGGCCTGTAGTGTAGGTCTAAGCGTAAAACCCCAGGAAAGGCTTGCAGGTTCCCCCTGACCATCCCTAATAATGTCACATATTTTTTCATATTCTGGATTTCAGATATGTAAAAGTCCCACTCTGATAATTTGTTTTACAACTTAAAGTGTTATCAGTGGTATTTTAATTGTGATTATGAAGTTTTTAGCCAAAATCATGTTACCTGTGTCATTTTCAAGGGCTTTTCTTCTGCAGAGCTCCAGTAGCTCATTAGCAATTCGCCTCTGAGTCGTGGGCAGAGACAGCGCTGCTCTGCACACTCCTCTTCATGCTAGCTTGCAGCCAGTGTGGTAGAAGTAGCAGGTAACACAGGAGCTATTCAACTCTTGGACACGTATGTCTTTGTAGACATGTTGAAAGTTAATATCATAATTTGTTTCTTATGAGCATTGCAATCTGCTAACACACACTCTTGTTCTGCAATCATCCTCTTTACTTCTCAGAATCTGGACTGCATAGCAGGGCTCTGGGAGCAGAGCTTGGAATTGTGACGTAGAAAATCTCTCTGTATCTGATCCTGCTGTTTGGGTCTGCCAGAGATTCACAGCGATTTGAATGCAGAAATACTCAGAAATGCAACTTCGCACTTATTTTCCTCATGATATGTCCTGTAGCATCAGAAAAATGCCACATGAAGACGTAGACAAGAAGAAAAACATGATTTTCATCAGAGTGGGTCTTTAACTGAATTTCAAACATATCTGTTTCTTTGGTTCTGATTTTGATGGCTACTAACTACTAAGTCTCAAGAAATGCTCTGAACATCAAAATAACATTTAACTTTTAAAACCAGGATTCCCTTAAATTTCGAAAAGTCTGATTTTGTGATACTTCATGACACTTTCAGCTTCGATATCATGTACATATTTTCACTGTTATATACGAATTCACTGTTCAAACAGCTGGTGAAAACTTGTTCTGGTTTCCATGACATACAATAACAATACAATAAAAAAATTATGTTTTTAGCCAGAGTTAGAATTTCTGCTCTGTATTTAAATCTGGATTATTATGCCAATGAGAGACTACTACAAGGAGACATAGCAGGTAACAGTGTTTCCAAGCAACAGAAAACATAATTGAAAAGCGTTATGTATGGTGAGCAGGCAGCCACCAACTAAAGCTTTAAACAAGATTACACCAAAAAAGATTTTTTAGATGATTTGATTGATTTCTCAATGAATTGAAAACCCACTTTAATACAATAGCTCACAATCTACCACTGATTAAAATCCCGTTTCTGACCTCCAGTTTTTGCTGAGAATCACCCCAGCTGAGTGTACTACATCTCCCCTTTTCTCATCCAGGCTTGTAAAACCTCCTGCTTTGATTTTTCATCATTCCACTGGCATAACCACAGCAGTTTGTAGTCAATTGTTTAGATCTGCTTCCTGTGTGATCGTGTGAGAAAACAGATGAGAACGTGTTAGGTGGCAGGTTTCTCCTTTTTAGTCTAAAATATCTCACAATGAGTGATATAAGCATATTTGAATATCCATGAAGTTTCTCCTCATGCTCATGAAGTCATCCTTTCTGTGAATAGGTTAAAATTTGAGCCCCCTGTTTTGGGCATGTATTCCACTTAGTCCTTTTCACATGTGGCTTCAACAATTGGTCCAAGTATCAAAGAAAAAATTCAATACGATCACCGCTGTATATGCACAGACAGAGGGAAAGTCATTACTTTTTCCTCGGATAATAAGCACTGTTGGTTTTAATCTTACCGCAGTTATTACATTTTTAGGCTCTTGGCTTACCTCAGCTGTGAATGTTTGCACGAAAGAGGCAAAATGACACCTGTGAAATCGGAGGTGACAGTATGTACAGTGCCTGTGAAGTGAGCTGTGCTTAGAATAACACTCTTCCCATTAAAATTCCTGAAAAGCTGTAAATATGTGAGAGTTAAGATGCAAGGAGTTGTGGAAAACAGACAGGGGTGATGTTTTTTTACACAGAATTATTGTGACAGGTTTTGGGGGTGAGTAGTTAAGTTGGGTGCATGTCCCCCGCCCTGTCAGGAGAGCTTCCTGCTTTGTGGTGCAGTGTTTGGTGCTAATCATGAGTTGCCACAGGGTGTTAAGTGAGTAAGTATAAGTGATGAAACTGAGTGATAGCCTACATCCCCTCCTCTCTAAAGACAAACCCATTCTCAAAGTGATTCCACTTATTTGAGCTGTCAATCTCTGTGCTTCTTTCCCTTTGAACTATTTCAGATGCAGCATATTTAATTTGATATTTATGCTCATTCTTCCTCTGATATTTTACTGGAGTGGGTTTCTGTTCCCTCAGCCAAGCCTCAGTGGATCCAGACCATGAAGGACACAGCTCTGGCCATAGAGGAGAGACTGCACTGGGAGTGCCGGGCCAATGGGAAGCCCAAACCCTCCTACACGTGGCTGAAGAACGGCCAACAGCTACTCTCAGAGGTAAATTACTGCCACCTCTCGATGTTTCATTTTAAAGACTTAATCTTCAGCTCCAGCTCATCCTTTCATTTCAGCGAGCCGGGCGCCAGGCACTCGGCTGTTTTTTTTCCAAGAGCAATTCAGAGTGAGATGAGAGGAGAGTGTAAACATCTTGCCGAGGTGTGCCAGTGATGAGACATGGATGTAACTGTCTCTACCTTGGCAGATTACACAGTCTTAGAGAGTGGATCAGTGTAGTCCCTGGGAGATTGCTCCATTTCATCTGAATGGAGTCAGTGGTTGTTTTTCATTATTCATGGTGCATGTTTAAGCTCCTCCAGATTTAGGGACAATGGGCTTAATCTCCTGTGAAATATACTGTATATAGCAGCGCACCTCACTGCAGACCACCGGAGAATTTCATGTAGTCTTGAGCGTTTGGAGATCTGTAGCTTTAAAATTGACTTGACTTTAACATGTGGCTTAGATTTTTTTCTCTGTTGCACTTAATAACACTCAAGGTGTGCCTTCTTCTTTTGAATGAGACTGAATATAATATTGGAGAGGCATTTCTTAATACCAGTCTTTGATTGAACTGTATATATCCTATCATATATCAGTTAGTGGTATTTGTACCCTGTGAGGTGTCATCATTATTCTTATTGAAGTATCACCGTTTTTGGCTCAGACTCACAGTTTGTAGCTCAAGATAACCAGCCTGCCAATGGATGTAAGAGCTTAATCCTATTGAGGCAAAACAGAGAGGACATGAGAATGGGCTGAATGTAATGTTAGGTTGCCAAAGCAATCGAACCTCCGATTCAATCTGGTAAATTGTTTTAATTGCTAATGTCTTGATTGCGTAAGAATAACTATTCATTTTTTATTGTTATTATTATTTTAACCTTTATTCAACCAGGTTTGTCCCATTGAGATCCAAGATCTCTTTTGCAAGAAAGGCCTGGCTAAGAATGGCAGCACAAACAGTTTCAATACGTAATCACATTTATCATATAGAATACACATTTATCCACGCAGACGCAATAAACAGTTGAAGTTTTCACTGCAGGATCATGAGGATGTTGGTGCTTTGGTGGTGGCGACATAAATAAAAATCTCAGAAAAATAAAACCTTACTTCCAAACACCCCATGCCTTTCCTTGAGCTCTGCATGTCAGCACCTCTGTCTGATCGCACTTGAAGCAGTTTATGGTTCATATTCATGTTATTCCTCCTGTCTAGATCCTTGCTGATGTTGTACTTACTCTCAGATTCATATCACCTTGGAAAAAAAATGTCTGCTAAATGAAATGGTCACATTTGAGCCTTGAAAACATCTAAAAGGATATCGTATTAACCACCTGGCAGGCTGAAGCACCTTAATGCTCATGATGGTGAGAACAAGACTGTAATTAAAACACAACCTGTTTTTCGCTCTGACTGGTTCATTCCCTACAATGTAACCCAGATTTGATCTGCACCCATTGACAATGCCTCCAACTCAATCCAATGCTTACTGAGCCTTGACAGAACACGCTGAGCAAAGCAAAAGCAACCTTTAAGTCTCAAGCAATAATTGCTTTCTTTTATCCTCTTCTTCACAGGACAGAATCCATGTGGAGGACGGAGTCCTGTCAGTTTCAGTGCTGACACTGTCTGACGCCGGCATGTACCAGTGTGTGGCGGAGAATAAACACGGTGTTATATATTTCGCTGCTGAACTAATGGTTTTAGGTAGGCTGGCATTTATCTGTCCCCTAAATCCTCCAATCATCATCGCCAAAGAACCTTAAAGGTCAACTTACTGTCATTCTTAAAGGTTGTCTGGATTAGCAGATAATGGGGTCAGTGAGGAGGTTTTTGTGGGGTCAAACACATTTAAAAAATATGTCTCCCTTCTCGATATACAGATTCATTTTGATGTTATGTGGAGCATGTTGTGAATGTTAAAGAACGTAAAATGTGAAATATTTGTGGTCATAAATCCTGTGTGCACACAAAAATGGGAAAGTTATCATAAAAACTGATCAGATTTTAAATTTATTCATATTCCCATTACAAATGTTAAACCTGTCTGCCTCTGTTACTTTTCACTTTCATGCTTTTGACAGATCAAACTGAAACATGCTGCAAACGCCCTGTGAGATTTGCTGCAGTCTTGTACTAAAGTCAGTTTACTGTTTCCCATCAGCCTCTCCTCCAGACTTCACAGGGAACGTCCTCAGAGCTTTGCTCAAAGCCAAGGCAGGAACTACAGTGACTTTAGAGTGTAAACCCCAGGCCTATCCCATCGCCAGCATCTTATGGAAAAAAGGAAACCTGCCAATCCACACCAATGACAGGTGAGCACTCTTGTGTTTTGGTGTGTGTGTGTATTGACACAGCTTGGAGGATAAACATAGCCTGGGCTGGTGACTGTTCAAAGTAGAAATGTATGCAAATAACCCAATCAGTATTTATTCTGTGCAGATATCAGAGTAGGTGCATTTTTCATCATTTTCAAGCTCTATTTGGTCGTACTGATCAAAACTCTGCTCACACACACTCACTGCTTGATTTACATGATCATGCAGAACACCGACACATAAACAAATCCAGAGTTAGAGTTTATCGAATGATAAATGAATCTTTGTTCTCACAAAGTCGTGGTTAAATGCTCTCTGTTTGTACTCTGCCATAGGATCACGCTTTCCCCAGATGGAACACTGAGGCTTGCCAATGTGAGCAAGTCGGACGCGGGCAGCTATACGTGTTTCGCCAGGAATAGATTTGGCATGTCGAGTACAACTGGAAGGCTCCTTGTAACTGGTAAGCCCTGCTGTCAAATAGCAGTATGTTTTGCCTTCTCATTTAGTAAGCAGAATTCGTTGCTGGGTATGGATTAAAGCAGGAGAGAGGTGCTGTACCAAGAGACCCTGAGTCAATAACTGGTGGGTAGAAAGAAAACATCAACAAACTTTAGGTTTGGCTCTGAGGAGGTGATGAAAACCTCGGGAATATGCTCTCCTCCAGGGCTCAAATTAAACTCTCTACGTAATTGAATAGCATTAAGAAATGTTCATATTTATGATGCTCATGTCCACGATTTACATCCAAACTTCATTATTGTAATGTGTTGGACAGGTTGCAATTGTAACCAGTGCAACCGCAAAGTAAAAGACATTCTCTCCTGAGTTTCATTTCATTGAATTGTTTTGTCTGGCTGCATTTCACAGCGGCTGCAATAATGCACTTGGAAGGTGTTTGAGGGAAATAGTTGATCATTGTTTTCCTCAAAGCAGTTGAAAACAACCAATTTGGTGCAACAAATAAAAGTGCCATGAGTGGAAGCAATGAAGGTGTTACAGATGCTGTTATCCTGTGCGAATGGTGCATGTTCTCTTATTGCTTTTATTAATCTGCTGAGTCCTATTGTCTGCCGCTGTAAATGCAGAGGCCAGTCATTTTTTAAATGACCGGTGTTTTCCAAGGCTGTAATGCAGTCAGCAACACAGAGCAATGAGCCAGGCATTGATTATTACAAGCTCAAGAGCTGTGGAGACACTATTTATATGTGGCTTTTTTATCCCTTGACTTCCCATGTAGGGTTAAGTGTTTAAACAAATACCTTTTTTTGTCCGATCTCCTTTATTTGATTCTAGCGGAAAGATTTTCTCTGTATTTTGAGCAGGGCAGACTTGCGTTATTTTAACTTTTCAGCCAGTGTAATGGGGCATGTCACAGAGGCAAGCTACATGTTATCAAATTAGTCAACTAAATCCCCTTTCACAAACGCACTGCACCCTCAAAAACTGCCCGTCAGTAAGACTGCACACCTGAACAGCTTTTTGTTTTCCTTGTTTTCTGATCGTCTCGGGTTAAAGTCTGCAATATGTCAGAATGAGTGTGTCTGGATGCACATGGTGGGGAATTTCCACTGCTAACAAGTGCTTTGAGTGATAAAGTCATTCATACTGAGTGGAGTTTCTCTGCGAAATCCTCCTCTTGACTTAGTTGTCAGCATGTTGTCTGTTTTTTTCTGACTGAAGCATTTGTCTTGTTTTGAGCTTCTCATACATGTTGTCGTGATATTTACACAGGAACATGCACCGTTACATGAGCACTTTTTAGCCTCCCCCTTTCACCTGAACCGAAAGGAATATTCCCAGTTGTGAGAGGGGGCATTCTAGTGAGAAAATCTCCAGCTGTGAGACACGTGTAAATGACAAAGTCCTGGAAATTTCAGAGCCCGAATATCCTGAAATTATCTAGAAATGTCAGGAGTGCAGATGTGAAAGGGTTGAGATTCCCTCTTGGCAAGCCTCTATAGAAATGCTTTGATGATTTGGTCTTTTACAGAGCTGCTATTCCAGAAAATCCACAAGACACCACTCATAATTTTTGCATGAGATGTCTCATGTTCTGTATGAGATTGGCAGCTGTCCCGGCTGAAATGACTTCATCTTCCTTTTTTTCTGTCTTTTCTGGGGCAGATCCAACCAGAATCATCCAGGGGCCAGTGGACATGGAGATCATTGTGGGCGAGAGCATCGTGTTACCCTGTCAGGTCTCCAGTGACCCTGTCCTTGACGTATCTTTCTCCTGGGCCTTTAACGGACAGCTCATTGCCAAGGGAGACGGTCACTTTGAGCTGGTGGGCGGGGTGAGTGACCCACAGTCGCTCTTCTTCAGAACGTGTGAATGGGCAGTTGGCACCTCTCCCCATTTTGCTTCACTTCATCCCTGCCATTAGTTAAAAAGGACAGCTTGTGGTTTGACATCATAGGATTTCTTGGAGTGATTTACTGTGGCCTATCCCCGTGATGGGTGCGATAGCATCCTTATTTTGCAATGGTAAAACTCTCCTCGGAGGCCTGATAGAATTGAGGATGTGAGTGTCTCTGTAAGGAAGCCCCATTGGCTCATTCTGTCCGTCTTAAAATGCCAATTGTACTTCTTCGAATTGAACATGGTGGCTGCTATGTCAAAATACACTTCCTACATAAAAACCACCATGTAGGTAATGTGTTAGCTGCTCAGCCATTGTGACAGGTTGTCATCTTCTTGAGCACACTTCTCCTACTCGAGCTCAGCCCTCAGAAGTAATCTATTTTTTAATGCTTTGGCTGGTCCTGAATTCTTTTCAAATCCTACTTTGACATAGCCTGCTGCACAGCTTCTTGTAACAGAAAGGGGATACACATCATTAGAGGTGTCTTTTAAAGGAATGAAAGCATGGCAGAGCCCCAGATGACAAAACACTTTGAGAACACCCCTCAACCCTCTTTGGAGATTAACCATTCTTCTTGTGTGTGTTTGACTGACAATGTTCTTATCTGAAGAGACTCCTTCCCCAGAAATCCTCAAATGTCCCCAGTCCAAAGAGATTATCAACTTAACTTTGCTGCTTCAAGGAATTTAATTTCCATAATTAAACCATGTTGGCTCCACTGCCACGTTTCCCTGCCAATGCCAAGGGAAGATTTCCCCACTAATTTACCGTTTGCTGCTTACGGGTGTCCTCTCAGATGAGAATCGAAGGCGCCTTTTCTCCTCTCCAACAGAGTAAAAACCAGCTGAACTCAATAGTAATGGATTATTTGTTAGTTTTTCAAAACAGGTCTTGAAGGTCATCATGTGGAGCCCTCATGAAAAGCACATGAAAAAGCAGAGGCCTTGTTGGACACAAAAAAACCTCCATTTGCTGCATGCAATTGCAGAAAATCCTAGCCTTGATCCTCATCATAGACAGAAAGATGTGACTCAGAGGTTCTGTCATTTTCAGATTTTTTTCATTATGTTTGCTTTACGGCTTTGACTGCAGAAACTGTCAAAAGATATGCGTGTAATATCACTTCTTGGAAACAATTTGGATTCTCCTCCACAAAGTCCGAGCTAAGTAACTGCTCGATCTGCAAATGTTTTTTGGCACCGCTATTTACTGCACCTTATATATGCTCGACTACATTCTTTAATAAGCTGTCACAAGGTCTGTTATCTTTCATGCTACATAAAGCTTTCTCTCCTCTTTGGTAGAGAACAGCAGGAGATCTGATGATCAGGAACATTCAGCTCTACCATGCGGGCAAATATATCTGTGTGGTGGACACGGATGTGGAGAGCCTGTCAGCCGTGGCTGTATTGATCGTGAAAGGTAAGGAAACCTCTCAACTGCTCTGCAGTCACTAATTAAAACACCCTGATTGTTTCGAAGGCCCTTATTTTTTTTTTTTTTTTAAGGTGTAAAAATGTGGATTTAGGGGACTGGGTGTAGGATTTAAGGGGATTTATGGGCAGGAGGGTTGTATATCATTCACAAATGTATAATCACCTGGAAATTAGAATGATGGGGTGTCTTTTAAAAAGCTCTGAATGTCCTCAGAAGTGACTCTTTCAACTGATTCTGAATTATTTATAACCATGTTTCTGTACTAAGCCAAAATGGGAAAAAACAAGCTTTTACAGAGATTTTTTTGAGTTTCTTGACATCAAGCATTCAGACTTTCTCTTCATAAAAGTTTGAGAAGTCAGGTAAAAAAAGGCAAGCATTTAATCTGTATTTACAAAAATTGCCAGCAGGGAGAAATGACACATGTGACAGCCATGCTCGAAAAGAAAGAACCCTGATCCTCAGCTGGTGTATAAACTCAAGAAACCTTTTTTTCTTTCTAGTTTTTACCCGATTTATCTTATAAGATGTTATTGTCATAAAACACACTGTCCAGTTTCTGGTTATGTTCAATGTAAAGGAGAGTGTTGGCCATGGCTGCCTGAGATCCAAACTAGCAACAAAGCAGAGGTATGTCCAAACTTTTTTGACAGAGGAGGCCAAACTGAGCACTTACCTATGCAGTGGGGGAAAGAAGTATGTGTGCACACATACAGAGTTGAATGTTATTTATTTACTATTTTTGTATGCATTAATCATATCTTCTTTAATTCACTTCTTTCAACCTCCAAATCGTCTGAGTTTGTTGCTCAAAGGACTCAGAAAAGAGGTGTCAGAATTTTAAGTGCTTAAATAATTGCGAGCAAGCTGCTGCACTCTGTCAAAAAAAAAAAACATATTTTGCAAAAAAAAATTGTTTTTCCAATAAGTTTTGATGAACTGTTTCCTCTCCTCTTCTCACTTATCTTAATTTAACAGCATCCAGCGTATTTATCTAAAATTTAACAAAGAAAAATTGCTTAATTTAAAGGCATGGTTGATGATTGGTGGGATTGGTAATTATAATGAACCTTGTTTATATGGCGATCATAGTCCTATAGTGCACTCTCCACAAAGTGAAGAGAAAAAGGATGGAAAAAATTTGTTCACCCCAGCAGGCGCAGGGCTGCAAAAACATTGACCAATGGGAGCCATCCATCCCGGACAACTCCGATTGGTCAATCTCCTGCTCCGCCTCTCCATCCATTCACCTCGCTGTATTCGACACACCCCTCTCCCTTAGTTCTGACTCGTCTCCTACCACCCTCCTGGCCCTTCTCGGAGCTCTGAGCGGCTAAAAGTAGTGTAGCAACTTAGCTAAGCTCCAGCTTAGCTTCTGCTTGCCCCACCGCCAAAAGTGCTAAGAAAACACAAGCTGACAGAAGAAAGGGAAGAGTCGTAGAGAAAATGTGACCACGCGAGGAATCTAACTCAAATAAATATCGGGTCAAACTTCGAGCGGTGGAGAAAGCTCTGCCAGGATTTGGGCCTGAAAACAGACGCCGAGACAGCAGAGTTTTTATTGAACAGGTAATTTCTGCCTTTTATCGTGGCACATATAACTCTTATTGTCTCTGCAATGTCAACACGGCAGCTGTCCAGGCAGCTGCAGACGGTGCTTGCTAGCAGAGTTGTCATTTACTGCCGCTAGTCACTAGCAATCCGACATGGTGAATCCTATTTGAAGCTAGCATAGGATCTTCTGCTGACCGGCAATATTTTTTTTGTAGGACGATAGGGGAAAGTCCCACCTCCTTCGCCTCTGATTGGCTAGAAAAGGTGGAAACGTCATCACACGCTCAAACCAAATGCGGGCTGTCGGCTCTGTACATCGAACAGGACATTACAGAACATTATCTCACTTCTGAATATCCTAACCCTAACCCTCATCCTAACCCTTACCCTAACCCTCACTCACCCTAACCCGACAGACAGTGACGTTTCACAGCTATTAGGAATAACCAATCTGAGCCCAGCACTTCTAGCCAATCAGAGGCAAGGAGGGCGGGACCTTCCCCTGCCATCATACAAAAAAAAAATTCACGGCCGGCTTCTTGCTCTGCCAGAGGGGGTGTGTCATGGGGAGGGCAATACAGGTTCGGGGGGGAGTTATCATGGAGCACAGAGGGGAGAGGTTTGTGTGTGCTTTTTTCAAATCTGCCTTAATGGCTCCGTTTTCTTCAACTGCTTCTCACATCATCAACTATGCCTTTACATGCAAAGTCACCTGTATGAACACAGCCCAAGTAGTTGATTTTAACCACAGACTGTATACAGAATTGACGCCGTCTGCCTCCTCGCTGGGTGAAGCCACTGCGAAAACAGCACCCTCTGGTGGTGGGCTGCAGTAAAAGGTCATAAATCCCGCCTCCCCCATCAATCCCTATGAAGCTGTGGACAAACCTAAGAAATTGATTTCACAGAATATAAATTTTTCTCCCCCCTGGTTGTGATGTTGACATGTAGTCCTCTTTTTTCTGTACAACTCTATTTTTAAAAGTTATTAGTGGGTTCATGTTTTCTATGATTGACACTTGATACAGCCTATGGGTGTATGAAGATTGTGTAACTCACCCGGGGGATACACTGTTTGAGCGGAGCGTCATCACAGCGACTCCTGGCGACTCTCCCGCCGGATGCGTACATTGCTACTGTGCAAGTGGTGGTTCCAGGAAGTAGAGAGAATTCTTGAAGTACCGAGAGCAAATCGGCTTCAAATTCATATAACAACGGAAGGCAGAGCCAAAGTTGTCCATAGTATATACAATCTGTGGTATTAACACAAACCCCACCTCTGACAGGGAAAGAATCAGTCATAGTTCAGGGTTTGGGGATGATATAAGTGATGGTCTATAAGATTTGGAGGAACATGCACCCCTGGCCACCTATCTAGACACACCCCTGCGATGACAATACCCTGTTTTACAGTATTTGTCCATGATAACGCATGTCCAGCCTGATGTCTAAATACAGCCACAGATGATTGCAGAGAATGGGAAGGCGTGCCCAGTAATTTCCATTTAGCGGGTTCAAAACAGTTTACCAGCCTATGTGAGTTATCACAGTGGCTGTGTACTGTTTATTACACTGTATGGTTTTCCTACACGCTTGGAAGGGGGTTAAGTGACTGATTATCACTTGTTTGCTTCTAGCAACCCCGTCACTACATGCCACTTTATCCTTCACTCTGGTCTTTAAATGTTTGAGTGTAATGGCAAATGGACTACACTTACATACCTCTATTCTATGTTAACCTACAGAGCACTTTACAATGTGCCTTTTATCCCTCCATTCACACAAACACACTCTTAGAGTGATGATAGCTGAGCTGCAAGGCCTGCCCATTGGGAGCAACTTGGAGTTCAGTATCTTACTCAAGGACATTTCGACATACAATAGCTTTAGAGTGTGTGATAGATATAGCTGCTAAAATGGCCCTCAGTAAAAAGATGACTATGCTCTGTGAGGGATAGCAAAAAAGCTGTGTGCCGAAACTGTAAAGGAAAGTATTTTAAATACAAAGAATGCCAAAGCATTGTGTTTTCTAAACCTTTTCTTGTCGGGCAGGTTTTATTTGAGCTGACGATTGCAGTGCAACAAAAAGCTCATATCCACATGAAATTCATGCTGGAAGTCATCAGAAACAACAAAGTTTTATTTTCTGTGTATTTTTAGTAGCACTTACTTTATTGCATCAAATAAGAGAGGCTGGCTCTTCTTTTAAATTGCATGCAGTGATGTTTGTGAAAGTAGAAATCTTGCACTGTTTTCTCTTGCTCTCTCTGTGGTAATGACCGATTCTCAATATTGGAGCAATGTACTTGACAGTGGAATGTTTAGATGCCTGTCTGTGCTCACTCATGCACTATGTATTGGTCCAGAGAGACACGACTGTCAGGAGCTGCATCAGGCAGAGCAAAATAGAACAACTTTTTTGTTGTGTTTCTATGAGTGGCAGGTTTGTATTGTGTGCAGAGTGAGAGGGGGGATGTGTCTCGCTTTGATCAATACACCAAATAGCCCAGAAAATTGACACCAGGCAAATATGCTAAATGTCAGATGAGGTGACTGATGGTTTTGCTGTCATGATTAGAAATGGTTGGATCCATATCTTTATCTTGTAAAGCTACCCATGAGCGATTCAGCTTGGCATGTTAAAGATTTGCTGGGCTAATTTCATTAATAAGCTCTTCTCTCCAAATGGCTAAGGACTATGTGGAAGTAAGGCTGTTTCTCCTGCAGAAGCAATATCAAGGCCATGGAAATTGATTGGCCCTGTATTGACTTGAGAGGAACTTGTCTGTGACTCAGAATGTGCATTATTTACACTTCCTGCTCACAGCAGCTGTCATGGATGTCTCATTGCTTGGATCAAATAGCTTCAAACGTTGGGCGGCAAAGCATGAAACTGGAGAGAAAACCAGTCATGGAGGAAAAAGAATGGTTAGTCTTCATCACAACTATAGACCTCTGACAAAAACGTATTAGATTCAAATGTTTTCCAGTCTAGCAGTTGGCCGATCCATGCTAGGACTTCAATGAAGGCCTGTGGCTACAGAAAATGACTGTCACCACCAAGTCCTACCCTGCAGGTTGTCTACCTTATACAGCAAGCCTTTACCAACTTCATCCTTTAATTTCTATTCCTTCACACTAGTTTCTATAGACAGGTATTAACCCTGGTTGCTGGTTCTGTCTGACATCGGGCAATCACACAGGCTAGCAAATATTGATGCAGCAGCTCTTGAGCTCTCTGTCTGCAAAAGAGCTAGGTCAGTTTTCAGAAAATTGTAAAGCAATTGAAAAATGTACCATAATGTTCAGTGTCTGTTTCTGTTGCTTTTAAAATTTAACAACTGAAAAATCCAATATCCTTTTCCACACAAGTGATTAGCTTCAGGTCCTGCTATATCTGACCCTGACATTCACAACAACCACTGAGTGGAGTAAACACCACTTAGGTTTTCTTCTCTGTGAGAGTCTCCTGACAAGCTAAGAGGCATTGTTAGTGTTTTGAAAAGTTGTACTGCCAGTGTGGATTTTTTGCAAAGTTTAGATCTCTTCCATTTCTTTGGCAGAGACTCTGAATTCAACACAAAACCAACAGTGGATATTCAGAGAAGAGAAAGATAAGATTCTGTCTAACCCCTCTATGCGGAAAAATTGTGTGCACTCATTCAGGGGCCCTGATTTGTTTGTTGTGAGAACACAACCAGCAACCAGAACACATATCAGCTTGATTTATCATGGGCATCATAATAATAGGTAAAGCGGTTAGAATAAATACAGTACAATAGGCTAGCTTTACTCAGTGCCTCCAGCCAGTTTATCAGCAGCCGGAGAGCTGATGCTAAGCGTGACAACATCACATGACCCCAGCATCATCTACTGGTTTAACAACTAGCCCAGCTTGTGGAACCAGGGGGATCACTGGAACCTCCACTTATGCCCAACTGATCCCCTGCTGTTGGAGTGTCTTTACCTCCATAATTCACTGCTCAAGAAAGCTTCTCTTTTTCATGCCCTGTTTCACAAATTTTCGTGTCCAACGTTTTCACGTTGTTGGTGGGGTAACTGGATAATTTAAGGTTCTTGTCTTGAAGCCAGCCTCCTACAAAATAAAGCGTGGCTAGTAGGCCTGGCATTTGTTTACATGCGCTATGGGGAAAGGAGGCTGTGAAATAATGATGATGGTGCATGCGTTGGCTGGCTTTACAGTGTTGCAGTGTGAACACAAAGAGATCAATCAATTTTGTCATCTGAATCAGAACAAAGAAAACAAGCTACAGATGTGAAATTACCCTCAACCTGATCTGCTCAGCATCCTTTAATCAAAGTTAAAAGTACGGGCTCTACAGGCCCTGTGAGTAATGTTCAAATATACTGTATGGTCAGTATGAGATTGCTGAAGCATACTCATCAGTGTGTTAGACGGATTTAGCTTTTGTAGTTGGACAAAATGTGATTAATTTAACGGCATTGTAGTTAACTTGCTTTTGAGTGTTTTGTTAGTTTGCCAACCGTTAGAGTGGACATATTGAGAGGGTCACAACATAAACCTGATCAATATTCATTTAAGTGAGGTTTTTGACTGTTTTCCATTGTTAAAATATGGATAAAATGGCCTGTTTGGGGTCTTACTGTAACTTTGTGATATTGAAGAAAAAGCTGCTATTGAGGTTTTCACTAACATGACAAGTACTCCCTTTTGTACAAGGGCATGTCCAGAGGGCTAACTGAGGATGGCCTTAAAATCTGATTTGCCACCCTCTATTTAGGATGTGTAATCAGGCTGGCTGAGGGTTTATTTGCACTTGATTGAAGCGCATTTTTTTTTTATTGCTTTGAATTGTGACTTTAGAAACATCTTCTTTTTAAGTGATTCATGTTCTTCCAATCTGCTGTGCTTTCCTTTGAAATAAAAAAATATATACAGTATGTACAAATGATTATCACAGTTGTATGATCTCTTAATGATATCTGTTCAAGTAAATTGTGAAGACAGAGAGCGTAAATTCTGTTTACATTCTCTTTGATCATTTTTGTGTATGTGCGCTCACGGTTAGAGCCTGTGTCGGAGCTCCAGTTGAAAAAGTCCCGACAAAGCAGTCTGCTCTGCTTTTGTAAGACTCAAGCCAAAACATCATAATGATTGGTGATGTGAAAACTATTTTAAGTGTGTTTATTCACATTGAAGGGTGGTATCATGCTTTTCCAACAAAAAAAATGCAAAGTTACCATCTTTGGTGTCCTATGCAAAGTTTAAAATCACAAGGTTAACGTATGTTATCGTAATCCTGGAAAATAGATGTAACTGCTCAAAATGGGACCTTGTGAGAAAATGAAAGACTCACTTAAACGCTTGTGTCAGGGTTATAGGCTCTTCTTAAAGAGCCTTAAAGAGAGAGAAAAATTTTATTTTTATACATCAGAGTGAGAAAAGGAGGCTTTTTTGATCTAAAAAATCATGTAGAGCAATTAAAGAGGTATCAGAAGGGAAATATGGAGTCTGGAAAAAATGCATAATACTCCTTCTTTAGGAATGAACCTCTGTTGTTACTATAAGTGAAGTGGACTCAAAAGCCTAATATTATCTCCTTGGATACAGTGAAGTAGGTGCAAAATGTCTCAAGTATCTAAAGGACATGCTTTTATACAACACAAAGTTAAAATACTCGTTTATTTTCTATTCCCCACTGACAAAAACATTTGTTTTCTGAAAACAGGCCCCATCCTGTGTGAATTATCGATACACATCCTGTTTTTTTAATTTATTTATTTTTTCATTGGAGCTTCTTTCTTTCAGAAAAAATTGTCCTGTGATGTGTGTATTAAACCAAGCAATGGGGAATATGAATTTGGAAGGAGATTTTGCTTTTGATTATTATGTTTTTATGCCGTGTCTGAAAGCTGTGGGCAAAAAAGCAACAACAAACTAAAAATCAATTCAATTACTGTTCACTTTTGAAAAGAGGGAGAAATCTCAGAAACAGTGCGCTTTGTTTTGTAAAGCGAGAGATAGGTGAACACTGACAATGGAGAAATCGTTTCTCAGTGGCTGATGTTCCATGTGCTCCAAAAAAGAAAATTTAATGTTCAAACAACTATTTCAATGATGTAGGACTCAATGAACTGTGATAATGTAGCGCCAGTGTGTATAAATGAAGCAGAGCGAGATCACTTAAATGTATTGAGATATTCATTATCATACTTGCTCTGATACTGATAATTGGTGTTAACAGCATTAGACACATTTTTCAATCATTTGTTATCAGTCTTTTTTAGTTGCTCTGTATTTTTTGCTGTTCCTTTCTCAGTCTGCTTCCAACCCACATCTGAAGGTCGATAATAATCGCTCCTGACACAAAGATCACTTGAGTTCTCCTTTTTTCACAATGGCAATAGAAAATGTTTTAGATCCCACTCCACGGTGCCTCACAAACACTCCACTGGGTGGTGGTAGCGGTTGGAGAAGGTCATGTAATATGGATTACATCATGGTTCCTGGAATTCAAACCACTCGGTTGGCACCTGTGCTTGTTTGACAGTTGCATCATCATGATCATTATAGTCATCATCCGGGGAGACATTGTGGAGGCAGGCACACGAGCACTAAGACCATGTTCAATGTGTTCCCTGAGTTTCACTGATGTGTAAAAGTGCAGATTACCAGATTGGATGGTGTTATATATTAAAATTAAAATAATATGTGCATAAACGACCATGTCTGTAAGTATTTAAAATGTTACCAGATATCAGTTTGCCCTGTGCCGACTTCACAATAAAAGCCCAGGCAGTCTGTCCATATTAATAGCAGATTATAAGAACAGCCTCAAGACCCTGACAGCACCCTGCTCCCTCGGCCAATGAAATATAATTAAGAGGATAAGGAATTGATCCTTGATTGTCTGCTCCATTAATATGTATTAATGAGGCCAGTGTATTAAAGGTTTTTTTGATCAAGAGCCGCTAATGAGTTTTACAAAGATCAATACCTCCAAAGCCAGGGCCTTAAGGCCAACTGTATGCGGGCAGCACGCTCACAGCTTCTGTAAACAAGAAAAAAGATCAGCTCAGCAGTGGCTTATTTAGCATGCATCTGGATCAGAGTGTGTTAAATATTTATATGCATACCCTCATACATACAGTATACACATATATTCCTTGAACCATAATCAAAAAATCATTTGTTTGTGTTTCTAAAGCATCGATTTTATATTAAAATAATCACTCAATATTTCAATGATTTGAATATTTTGCCTCAGATGAGGAACCACTTCAGAGGCAGTGAGGAGTGTGAAGCAGAGCTCGGGGCGTCATTATTCTGCGGTGTGTCTCACAGTTCTCTAGTGGTCTATTATTTCTGATGAGCTGACACATTCATTAGAAACAGGAAGCAGCAGATGAGGGTAAAGTAAAACATCACACTGCTTAATTGGTGGGATAATGAAAATAAATGATAAAACTCTGCTTCTTCAGGGCTGTGAGGCTCTTTTTCATCTTCTACCTTTTAATTCGAGCCCCTGCCCCTACTTACGTCTGCTGTTTCCGCGATCAATTACCAGAAGGAGCATGAAAGGGAAGGATTACAGGTTGGGTGAATATTGGAGGATAAATCTTAAATTAACTTTTAATTCCTCGTGAAGGGCATAACTTCTCCTCAAAGCTTAAATTCAAAGCTTTTCAAATATTTTCCCTACCTTATGTTGATTTCAAATATGGAGGATCTTAACTAAGTATAATGTCTTGTAGCAGCAAAGAGAAGCTGGATGTGATTTTTATGTAAATTTATCGGCCTTCCATATTTTTCACACAGCCTCTGTGAGCATACATATTTGAATTCTTATTCTGTAGTTTGTCTGTGTCTTTGCATGTGTGAGGACCTCACAGTATCTGTTCCTGTGATTAAACCAGGTCCTCCCAGCCCCCCAGACTCAGTCACAGTGGAGGAGGTGACAGACAGTACAGCCCAGCTCGCCTGGAGCCCCGGAAGAGACAATAGCAGCCCCATCACCAATTACCTCATCCAGGCCCGGACTCCCTTCACTGTGGGCTGGCAGAGGGTTAACACAGGTAGGAAGCACTTAGAGATGAATTTTATCTCATACCACATGTGATGTGATTCAGATTCTTTGTGGATCCCCTCGGGGAAATTGTCTAACTGCCAGGAGGTCAGATTGTGGGGTCAGCTGCAGAACAGAGCCCCTGGAGATGGTTGGGATTCAGTGTCTTACTCAAGAGAACTAGAGTTCAATGTTACTGCTTTTACACGATCTCATTTAAACCACTTCAGTGACCTTTGTACCTGCCTAACCAGGGGAAGAGCCTTTTCCTCAGCTCAGATGAGGCTGGTTTGGGTAGCATTTGCTCCCTGTTCCTGTGAAGGGTCAGAGCACATAACAAGCAGCTTTAGATAACAAATTAGGAGCATAAACAAATTATTTTTTCATTAGTGTGTTTCACAGGGATGTTGCTTTTAATAAAAGAACCGCAATGTTGTTTAGGTATATTACTTATCTCACCTCAATTCATCTTTATTTAGAAAGCACTTTAAAACAACCACAGTTGAAACAAAATGCTGTACAGAAGTTGACAAAAATAGCTCAGACATAAAAAACAATTAAAACACTATATAAAACAAAGCAGATAATAAACATTAAAATCATTATTTCATTGTTTTTAAGAACACATTTAAAAACAATAGAAACAACAAAAAACAAACCATAAAACACCAAAACAGGAGCAGAGGCTCATGTTGGGTTGAAAGCCAAGGAATAAAAACGGGTTTTAAGACGAGTTTTACAAATGGACAATGAGCAAGCTTGTCTAATATTTAAGGGAAGCTTGTTCCACAAATTATGGGCAGCAACAGAAAAAGCTCCATCCCCTCTGAGCTTCAGTTTTGACCTCTATGATTGTTGTACAAAGCATGCACAGAAACAGGTTAGTGGAGCAGCCAAACTGACACTCACCAAAACACAAATTTAAGTAACCAAACATTGAAAATTTCTCAGCTCAGAACAGCAGCCGACAGCAAGGTAGATGGACTGGAGGTGAACACTTATACTCTCAGTCCTCTAGAATTATGTCTCCTATGTCCTCTCTGACTCAGCTGAGATCTGCCATGTTAGCAGTGTCCCATGACCCTTGTCTCTCCTCAGAGGAGAGAGCATCATAGACAAGGGAATTTGGAGGAGCAATAACTGAGGTCAGTGAGAGATGCCTTCATTGGAGTCAGAAATTACACCACATCAAATATCAGACACTGATTGGACATTGGAGGGACATGGGGGAAAGGAGCCACAAGCTCCAGTAAAACCTGGGCCGACTGCCCTAGGCATAGCTGTGTGTAGATCACTTGGCAAGCAGCACCCCATGATTTCTGGTTTCATTAAAGCTTATATTAAATTAACAATTTACAGTGTTTTTGAGACAATGAAAATAAAGCATCATGAGACATCACAAGACATCACAAAATAAGCTAATAGGATGCAGAGTTCATAATCACATAGGCACTAAATATCCATAAATACAAAAACAAATAGTGACTCATTTTACCTGTAAAACTGGACACAGGATGAAGAGCCTCCTGGATGTTTCTGTGTGCAGGTGTTTGTTAAACGGGTAACACACAAAGAAAAAAAAAATCACCATAACTGTGTTTGTTTGATTTGAATGAATACAGAGTACCAGTTTTGCAGATACAAACAGCTGTGAAAGCTGACTGACAGCTGATCCGGCTGTGATTAGCTGATTCAGTCATCACAAAAAGACCTCGCTTTATCTGATGCTCCAGAGGAAAGAACATCTCATGTCCCTTTTTCTCGTTCCTCTTCATTTCCTTCCATCCCTTTATGCATCCCTAGTGGGAGGGACTGAGATGCATGGAAAAGGGGGAGTAGGAAATGCATGGGTGCAACTGAGATATAGCCATGGTTGTGGAGAGACTGATGACACTTGTGTTAGTGTTTGTCACGCTTTCTCTCGCTGGTTAAGAAGTCTGCAGGAGCTACATTGGTCCACAGAGCTGTTAGTCATGCTTTAAAATCCTCTTTCTCTCTCTTTTTTTAAAGCTCAAACTTACTAAGACAAAACTTCTTCAAGAATTGGACACTTGAACATTAAATAGGACAATAATAATAGGAAAGTATTTTTCTAGTTTGCCTATCAGCATAGCAGAAGGGGGCCTTGTGACCTCTACTGTAACTAGTCATCTGGAGGATGGAGGAGGATGTTCTGGCTCTTGTGCTGAAGAGTGTATCACTCCAAGTGTGATACAGTATTGCTCTAACTGCCAACTAAACAAATCTAAGAGAAAAAAAAAGAGTTAAGCTTCTTTAATCAATACTTTAAATTATCAAGGGATCAAATGTCTCCATGGTTAGTGAGAGGGGTCACTTGGCATGGTGAACCTAAAGATAATTACCAGATTATCAGCCACTGTGGTCCCCCTCAGCTCAAGCAAGTTGTACTACTCTCTAAGAACCAGATTTTTCTTGTTAGGATGGTGGAGACTAAATAAGGAGATAAAAAAGGAGAATTACTATGACTTAATCTTATAAGATGGTTAAGTAAGAGTTTCTTAGGTTGTTCTGTTTCGACACGGTGTAAAAACAGGCAAATGTTGGGCAGCAATTTCAGACTAATTTTATAGGGATTAGAGAAAGTTACTACTGCAGAGAATGGTTCTCACAACTCACCCCTTACCATACCCTACCTTTGTTCTCTGCATGTCACCCATACTCAGCACAAGTAGCATCCAGCAGCAGCATTTAAGTGCCCTCCTCCTAGGTCATACAGCTTGTAACAATATCACGCTTGCACTTTGGTTGAAGAGTTTATTCAGAAGTGTCACTGCAGAGCGAAAGGTGAGGAGAGCAGTATCTGTTCTCAGGATCTCTGTGGACAGTAAAGTCAATTTGAGAGTCCCCCCCCTTTTTAATAGTTAAAGTGAGGTTATAGATTTGCTTTAAGTGCTAAAATACATTAATTCAGGATAAGTCAGGGTCTTACAGTAATGTTTGTGTTTTTTCTGTCTTTCTAGTCCCTGAGGTAATTGATGGCAACACAGTGACAGCCACAGTGGTGGACCTGAATGCTTGGGTGGAGTATGAGTTTCGAGTTTTGGCTAAAAACAGTGTCGGAGTTGGAGAACCCAGCCCGGTGTCGGTCAAGACCAGGACAGAGGACGCAGGTACAGTAAATTGCCGTTTCGATTGCTCATTCAGGCAGAGAATCTGAAACTACAGTGTAATCTGCAAAAATACCACCACCATCACTGCTTTTTCAACCTTCTGAAGCCTGAAGTGATTGTTATATGGAGGTCTGAACAAGGTCTGTGTTGTGTAGTTCCTGATGCAGCGCCAGGTGATGTGGGTGGAGGAGGTGGAAGTAGATCTGAACTGGTCATCACATGGGAGGTAAGTCATCAGTCTTATGTTCTAGTATGATATTCAAAGTGCTTGTAGTTCATCTATTTCTACTTTCTAGCGAGGTGCTCGATGCTTTCCATTAGATTGAAGCCCCTGCTTTCTTGGTTTGTAGGTGCCGCACATTTGGGGTAAATGAAAGTCTGGTGCAGAAGTAGCTGTAATTTCTTAGTTAAAGAGTCTTCATGTAATGTAGCACACACAAGCAGAGCACTTAATCCGACAGTTATTGTCATTTATGAGGCTTTGATCTGTGCTGAATTACTGTTGTTCAGCCAAATCCGCTGTGCTCATATCCAGCTCTGAAGTAAACCGGTCGGCTAGCTGAGAAATAATGTAGATATTGAAGGATTCATTAGTTTGCTAGAGCTCTCTCATTATTTTAGTTTTCTCATTTTATTAAAATCAAAAACAACTTTTCATTCCCAAAGCTATGCAGACGTTCTTTAAAGAGCTTAGTTTTTTTTCTTAATAGCATTTCGCTCCTTATTTCATTTTGTCAGGTGGGTCACAAAAGCAATTTATGGGTGGTGCAGTTCTTTTGAGCAGGGGGTAAGTGATCATGTCAGCCCAGCTGTGGGGTGAATGTGAGTGGTTTGTATATGTTTTAATATCACTATAGTTTTGTGTTTCACTCTCAGCCTGTCCCTGAAGAACTACAGAATGGTGAGAGCTTTGGTTACATCATTGCTTTTCGAGCCTTCGGAGATGTTAGCTGGACTCACGTGGCCACCTCTGCGCCTGGTGCCGCTCGCTACGTGTACCGCAATGACAGCATCGCGCCCTTCTCTCCATTTCATGTGAAAGTTGGTACTTACAACAGCAAAGGACAGGGTCCCTTCAGCCCTGTGGTCACCATCTATTCTGCAGAAATAGGTACGGGGATGAATATGTGTGGGGTTTTTTCACTAAAGCTACAAAGCTTTTCTGTTTTGGAAAGGGACAAAGATCATGAAAGTGTTTTTTTAGAGCATCTAGTAGGCTGAAAGCCTGGTGTTTTATCTCCCTGCATCAAATAAAGATATATGCAGGAAAATAAATTTGTAGGAATCTTTCATATGCATAAAAAAGTAGTGGAAAAATTGGGGGAAACTGCTACAAATTTATCTAAGGATAGGCAGATTGCCTCCAAATATCACCACTCTTTTAAACGGCTATTCCAAAGTGAGAAGCGCTTGGCATTTAGATCTATGCTACCTCTCTGCATGCTGAGAGGGGGTCAGTGTTTAGTGTAGTGCTGGTCTATTTACCAGCAGCACCTGTGTGTGGTGATTCATCCATGCAGAGATCAACAAGAATGCCGCACTGTTACAAATGTAAAATGTGAAGAGATTTGTTCTGCTTTTCTCTGTGCCGTTTGAGGAAAGGCACCGCTCAGTCTCCTGTTGTCTGTTTTCAGAGCCAAGTGGGATGCCAGCGGGAGTTTGGGCCAGAAGTGTCTCAGCCTCTGAGATTGAGGTGAATTGGCAGGCTCTCTCCTTCACCCCTGAAAGGGTTTTGGGCTATGAGGTACATTTTTACCCTTTTAAATGGAAATAGAAATCACACACACACAACACAATTCAAATGCTAGTCATCACCCCTGTCCTACCTCAAAGCCGACACTTCCAAACTCGGCGTCGCCATGGTAATGGCTGTTTCAGTTGGGCGACTGTTATGGGCAAAATTATACAGTTCTTTGTCCCGACACGACAGGAAAACATGTCAGAGCGTTTTTAAGAGAACAAAAGAAAATTGCCTGTCCACATGCCTTTTCAGGTTGCTGTCAGTTATGGGATATCATGATACGGAGCTCTATGATAGCCTGTGCTGCAAAATAGAGCAGACCTAGTGTCAGAACACTAACCAAAAACTGTGATTATACCCTGCTTCTTTTGTTTGTTTTTACAGCCGGAGCTGAGGCATCAGGGGAATCGATCCTCAGCCTTGTAATTGTTCTCTAAATAGAATATGAATATTAAAGTATTACATTTGAAACCCCTCACAGTTGATTTTATTCTATTTTTTCCCTCAAAAACTGGGACAGCCTGATTACCTTACCTGCTTACTTTGGGCTGAATAATGAGGGTGATCAAAGGGCTCAAAAGTAAGATGTTGTTGTTATTCTTTTGATTAATAAAAGCAAAGCTGCTTCAATATTTCCATCTGGGAATGTAGGTATAAAATATCCAACCAGCCCAGGGGACCTCAACACCAACTAAAACTAAATAATGTTGCTGGAGAGGTGAAGGGCTGGGGGATGGGTGTCATTTCCAGATATTGTATTTTCAGTTTGAGATTTGTATTGAGTGGCCATTAATCTTATGGTGGGTAGCTTTAGTTATTTAATTTGCAATATGTCATATATGTATATCTTAACTATCTGTATTTTGCATGGAAAACAGAGATTGCTTTAGCTACAATTCAACAAAGATTTATGCATGATAGAGCTGAAACATTTAGACCATATATCCATGAGTCTGGTCAAATAAAAAACCCTGACGGTTCGTTTAAATAATTCATTTGATGTTTTAGTCATTGAGCAAAAATGCAAATCTGGGCTGAGATGCACACACGTGAGCTTCTGTAAATACATGATTTTAAAGCTCGTTGAACATTTTAATAATGTCATCTTGAGTTTCTTTTAAATGTGACAGACCAATTTTGATATTTGAGTTTCATAATGTGATCTTATATAAACAGTGGGGACTCTTGATTAATCAGTATGGAGGGACACCGATAGTTAAGGTCTTTTTTGTTGTCTTTAAGCAAAAATAGTTAGACATCCTGTGAAGTTGTAAAAGCACATTAACGAAGGCTTTGTAATATCAGATCAAACATCCTCCTACAGAGATAAAAGAAAACCATAGTCTGACTTAGGAGGATATACCCAAGGGTGATCATTTATCAACACCACATTTCTCTCAAGACATCAAACACAGCTACAAAATACCCTGTTGTGTTGTATTTGATTGAAAATTCACGCTACTAATGTTCGCATTTTGCTTCAATCTGAAGCCATATGTCATGGTTTAATTCTAGATGATGTGCTCCCTGTCACAAACAGGTGGTATACTGGGAGGATGACACCAAACCTGAGACCATGGGCAAGGTTAGGGTGCCCTGGAACCAAACGTCGGTCACAGTGAGCAGCTTGGCAGGAAACACGCAGTATTTTCTCACAGTCAGTGCCTTTAACACAGCTGGCACTGGGCCCTTCCTCCCTGCAATCAATGTGACCACGAAAAAGCCCCGTAAGTTTGAGCGCCCAGTACTGAGTTGCATAATCTGTGTGTAAGTTTGACTGGTTGTGATCAAGCGTTCTCTTGAAAGATGGGATCATTTGGAGGATGAGGAGTAGAAGAGGGAAGTGATGGCTAACCCAGTTCTACCTGTTATTGACACTTGTTATTGTACACTTGCTCTGTTATATTTCACATACCTAATCAGGAATTAGAGTTTGCACTTAAAGAAACACTCCATAAAGAAGTTTGCACTGATTCAACCAAATGAGGTTCATCCTTTCTGCCCACATTTTGGTTATTTTGAACACTGCGGCCCACTAGTTGAGATGACACAACTTAAGCTGAAACCTACCTGATTATAGTATGTGTTAGGTGTGGACTTTACACCCAAACTGAAGACATAGCTAACACAGAGCTGGTGCATCAGCCCTCTCATGATCTCCTTTCCAATTGTTTGATTTCTGGTTAATTGATATAAAATTTATATTTTTTCTGGACTAATGGGACTAGCATTATGACACAAAGGGTTTTGTATTGAATAATAACACAGCTGTGATGCAACCATTTATTGTGAAAGATCTCTCAAGCAGTGTTATCCAGTACAACACTTTAACCTCTGGTGTGATAACACTTCTATACAACAGTTGCACAGCAAGGATAGCAGAGTAGGGAGTTGTTATTTGCAACACCAAGATTATTTTGTTATTTTTCTTATTTTTAAATATACATTTGGCCCCAATTACAATGCTAATTCTGCAGCTTGGCTGGAACTGAACTCATGCGGAGCAGAAGTTAAACATTTTGCTGCATATGTCTATAGGTGACAATAAACCATCTTTTTTGAGCAATGCAATGTACATAAAAATGTGTATCGCTATTGATAATGCAGTGAGTGTGTTGCTTTGGAGGCAAGTGTGATCCTGAGGTACCAGCTTGATCCATCCAGACGAAGACAGTCTGCTGTCATGTTAGATTGTGATGTGGTACTATAGAGCACTTACGCTCTACTGGACTCACTCTTTTCTTACCAGATTACTGCGTCACCACTAACTGTTATGACTATTTTTACACCATGCAGCACCAGCCCAGCCACCACTGAATGTGGAGTGGACCTTGATTGGCTCTCAGCTCTCTCTTTACTGGGAACCAGTCCTGGCAATGGAATCTGAGTCAGAAGTTACAGGCTACCAAGTGAGTTATACATCCTAGGATGATTCACTGTAGACTGTTTTTCCCTCTAATGTATCAGACTGAGTGAGAGCAAGGACTGTACCTGTTTGTTCTCCCACTGTAAGCTGTCAGAATGTAAGATTATGTGTTTACAATTTGTCACCCACCTTGTTTCTCTCCTCCATTCAGCTGTCATTCAGGAGACAGAGACACAATGAGGTAAACACACTCACAACAGCCAACTCCACGGCAGAGCTGACCCTTCCTGAGGAAGATGACGAGTACATCATCCACATCCGGACGTTGAGCGAAGGAGGGCTGGGCCCTGCCTCGGATCCCATACGAATCCACCAACTGAGTAAGCTTGCTGTTGTGGGTTTTACAAGATCTAAAAAAAAGGAACATTTTTAAGAAGAAACTGTCAAAGTTTTCAGTCTTGAGCGGCATCACTGAAATATGCTTACGCCAGACTGTTGTATAGAATGCAACAGAACAGCAAGACACAAATTCACTGACACCCCAGCCTCTCGGAACTTTTTAATTATTTACTGTCTCTTGTAAATGAAGTCGCTTAGCACTTTTTAAACCTGACAGGGACATTTTGTCCTCCGTTGACTCACCATTACCCATGTCCCCAGCCACCCCAGTTATGCTCTTCCCAGACTTAGATTTTGCTGAAATGTATGGTATGATCTATCTCTCTCGCAGAGGATGACTTCCTCTTTTACTAGATGCACTTACTGTCCTGTGGGACACCAGTGGGGGGCTCCTCTGCTGCTCTAAATGTTGATTTGCATTGTTGATATTCAATGTTGAACCTGTGAAAACAGTACTTTAGAGAGATAGAATCCCACATGAGCTCTTCTTTTAAGTTTTATTTGAAAAATACACAGCTGCCTTTCCTTCCCAGGTTTCTTTGGGCATTAGTGAGAAAAAGATTCAGGTAAAAGACATTAGCGATGAAACTGAGTGCTGTGGTTATAGAAGCTATGTATCTGTAAAACATCCAAAGTGGAGCAGCAGGGCTTTTTCCATCAATAATATATATTTATTATCCAGGAGAGGGTTTATAATTGGATGTTATGTCTTTACAGTAAAATATTCAGTGATCCATAAGAGCTATTCTGTTCACTTAAATCATACATGAGGAAGTCGTAATGACAGCAAACTGTATCCGGCTACTTGTTTCTTTCCGCTAAGCTCCCTAACTACCTCTTTTCACTGACAGTCACATTCATAAACCAGAAAAGGAAAGAGTTTTTTACCACAGTAGGAGGAGCCCTGTATTTTGGGAAATTTGAGTGTCAGAATTATCTCAGACAAATCTGAAATCTGATAGAGAGCAAAAACAAATTAACCTCCCAGGTGGATGTCGTGACTGGAGCGTGTCCAGACTCTTTTTGACTTGGTTGACCCAACTTAGTCACTTACTTCTGCTGGGATGGCAGGAAGTATGTGTGCATGCTTACAAATGATTAGTATAGCATTACCATTATAAGTTAGCCTGCATCTTCCACCTACTTTGAATACTCACAAATCAACTAGGTTTTATTTTCCTGTGTATCATTTTGTATCAAACACAACATATTTTGTGATTATCAAAAACTTCTCAACTTTTATGGAAAAAAATCAAAAGAAGTCACTCTTTAGGAAGTCAAACATCAGTTTTAAATCTTCATTTTACATATTGGGGAAACTATCTGATGATACCAGTGACAAAAGTATGGTCTCCCTGTTGAGATTTTGGGTCTATAAAAATATATTAGAGCATCCTGGCTGACATAAACAATATCCTAAATAAAGATATGTTTGATTTGATTGTGTATTTATGTAGTTCCCTGTAATATTTGTATTTTCTTGTTTATCTTAAACCACAAAATTCACTGTTCACCCTTAAATATTAGCCAATGTTAATATTGACCCCATAATATCATGGCAATTAAAGGATAATATAAGAGATGTGAAAATATCTGGCATATGATTAAATGAACTTGTAATAAGATAAGGCTAATTACTGTAAATGGAAAACATCGCCTACATATAAAAATGATTTTAATGAGTTTATTTTTAGAGTGCTTTCAGTCATTATTGTACATGTATGTTTTATTGGTTTCTTACATAAGCAATAAGCTCAAATCAAAGGGACTTTCTAGGGTCTTTCTAAGCTTAACTCTTTCAGTACCCAACAAGATTATTTATATTCAGAGTAACATTTAGAAGGACAGTGTGCCACACTGAAACACAAAGATAGCCACCAGCAGTCTGCCACAACACAGCTTGCATAGTTGATTTGAACAGAAATTCTGCCTCTGCCACCAAAACTTAGGTTTAGGCCATCTCTCCAGACATCTGACTCGTGTCAGCACTGCTACCAAAAAGTCTGTGTCCTCTATCTGACTTGTGATTATTATTCTTTTTTACGTGTGTGTGTTTAAGGTATGAGTGCCCGTGGCTCAAGAGCCTGGAGCGTGGACATCTCCTCCTACTTCCTTCTCCTTGCCATCGCAATATCAACATTCAGGTCAACATCGTGACACAATGAGAAACTGTTTTTCAACCTTCTTATCAGTATTTTTTCTTGAATTGGTGAAAGTTGCTGTTTTTTTCTTTTCTTTTCTCTCATTTTTGGAGGTGATCACGTGCTATTTGACAGTGTGCGTTTGCGGGTATGAGGCAGCACAAGAGTGGAGTGTGCTGTCAGATGATTAAAAAACAGTTAATGCTTGAGCCTTTTTTAAAATAGGTTTTGACATGTCTGCCGGTTGGGAACAATGCTCCATTTCAACTCTTTTTTTTTCAAATGATACAGATGCCTTACTTCCATTCATGTGCCAAAGTAGTTTCAGCCTTCTTGTTGTAATCGCTAATAGCTACATGCTTTCTTCAACATTTTATTCCTCACAGTTTCTTAATATTGAAGGTCTCAGTGAACCTTGCAGAGGGTTGAGATACAAAGATGTATTTGTGTTCTGAAATATTTCTGATTTTGTCTCCACGTCTGAATTGACAAGTCCAAACATGCTCATTCACCCGTGCCCGTGCCTTTGAAGATGCTTTTAATGCCATCATTTATAGACACTAGTCCGTGATACTTTGTGGTTCGGAAAATACTGCAGCCAACCTCCATCTTTACCTGCTCCATTAAAGGTTGGTGGTGTCCCAGATGAAACTCATGAACAAGCTCACAGTGCCAGTGTTAGCCACTTAGCTTTTATCTTTTGATTATGTAGAGCTGAATGTACCATGAGGGCTTGAACAGGTTTTAAGGCTTCAGACTGGTTGTTGTGATAGCCCACTGATTGATGGATCAGACTGTGTTTACAGAGCTTTTATCTGCCTGTGCACAACTGTAGCCAGAGAGAAACACAACTGCAAGTGTATTTCCTTCAACAGTTGTCCTAAAACAATCGGGTAATTGACAGAAAACAATGAACAACAATCCATTTGGTCATTATTGTGGACAGGAAGGCAAAAAAAAAAAACACCCAACAAGGTGTATGTCTTGCTCGTTGCTTTTCTAATTCGCATCCAAAGAATCAATTCAACAAGTGTTCTCATACTTTATACCATGACCGACAACTAAATGTCATCAAAATAAAGATACTAATTATAACTGGTTTCATATATAACTTTTTTATCTAATTGTTTTAGTTAAAACATGTAAGGACTGTCTTAATCCTAAGCAGGTTTTCTGAACTGATCAGCTTGACCTAGCCCAAAGAGTGGAGGGAGGTGTTCAGTTAGCCTAACTCAGTCCAAACTCAGCTCACAAATGCATCAGTGAGCATCAGTAGATTCACTCATCATCACTAGTCCAGCAGAAGTGTGCATTTGATGGTTCAGTCGCTTTGGAAACTATCTTTGCAACTTTCCTAAAATGACAATCAGACCATCACACCCACTTTCAGCTTTGACTGACGGGTAGGTGTGCCGATGTGAGAAAGCTAACAGGGTTTGAACTTCTCTTTCATGCTGTAATTTGAAACCACTGTCTATAAATACTCTACATTAGCACAGGTACTTCAAGGAATTTAATTATGGTATTTTTCCTTTTTCTAGTACAGCTTGTTTTTCATTCTCATCCTCTGATGCTGTCTTTCAGATCAGCTATCAATTCTGTGTCCATCAAACATGCTCAAGTTTTTACAGTAACTACTTTTCAACAATCAATCTGAGTCTTGTTGTCCTTGGTTAAATCAAATCCTAAAGTTAACCAAGTAGAGGAAAGTAGTTAAATCTTGAATTTTGATCTGTGTTTATGTCTGGCATGATAATGTCATGATACAGTCTGGGCTCAAGTTCTGACTACAAGCTTTGACTTGAGCTTTCAACCTTATCTTCAATCTCAAATGAAGATCATAACTGATCACCACGTGGATTTCTTAAATCATCTGCAGACTTGAGTTAAATCAGTTGAACCAATACAAACTTAATTCAGTGAACAGATTTTTAAAAATTTGAGCTGTGGTTGAAAGATAATATTAGATTTATCATGAGTCTAGATGGTCTTGGCAAGAACATACTAATGGTGCATAAGTTTTACTTAAGTCAGACGTATCATGTTATTTCAACTGCTGACCAAATTTGAAGGAACCAGTGCCCCCTGAACTCTGTGTGGTCATGGTATAATGTCTGTGAGATCAAGATTGTTGACAGGACCAAAAAGTTGTTTTACCACAGAGCTTAAGGTTATTATGGTAAACATTTCTCTGTGTTTGAATTGATTAAATAATTGGAAATATTCATTATTTGCAGTTTTAGTCAACATCCATCTGGGCAACACACATAGTGGTCGTGCCAGTTAATGTGCATCATCAGCCCTTGCAGTCAGGACGAGAGGCTTAAAGTGCTGCCAATTGTGCCAGTCTGATAATTGAAATCTAGCCACCAGCTTAGACATTATTTGGCAAAATGTTTGGTCAGCTGTGTTTTAATACTTTGTGAATCTGTCCTTTCTTGTCAGTTGTATTGGCTTTTTCTTCTGTGGTATGTATTGTCATTGTTTATTTATGTATTTCAGTGATAGCCCACTGTTCAGGTACGTGCTTCACCCTACAATTCAATAACCCCACCGTGGCTGAAGCAGATAGACCACAAATCTGTCAGCACATAACCTGAGGGTCTATTTAACAGACTTGACGAATGGAAAGCCTGAAATGTGCCATGAGTTAGCAGACATTAAAATATCTTAGTAAATTAGAGCAGGCCTGAGGGACTTCTATGGGAAAAGGGCATGGGAGTAATGTTACTAATGACGCCCACCCAAGATGAATACAACAGGATTTAGGAAGGACTAAATCCAGACAATGCCATAGGGATGAAACCAGGAAAATGTTAGGGTGTGCACACATGTGATGTTAGAGAAAACAGTTTTCAAAAGGATCATTTGACTATTCAGAAAAGTGAGGTTAAATGTGTGTCTTTTAATTGAGAGCGGTTCAGGGCTTTAGGCCTCTGAAGCTGCATAGATACTGGAGAAGAGTTACACAAGGTCAATATGAGAGGTAGATGAAACAAGTCTGAGTTGTAAATGCCTTTTTTCTATTAAATTATCAAAGATTGCAAGTGCAAAGAAACCAGAAGAAAAAAGCTCCACGATCCAAGGCCAGGTCAGGTGCACCTAGTGAGGTATAGTTTGAATCTGATTAAAAAAAAAGGTTTTCCTTCCCTATAATGTTAATAACTTTTTTTAAGCAGTCTTTGAATCCTGTTTTTGTGGCTTTACTTGTTGTTAATCTGTACACACTCTTTCATTACAGAATGTCATTGTTAAGCTTACAAATGTTTACACAGGAAATGCATCTTTCTGGCTGATTTATTGATTACATGAACGGAAAAAAGACAACATTATGACAGGCTTTATGAACTTGTGTCCTTGGTACCTAGAAGCATTGCCAACCTCTTTGTTTTGTAATGTATCAGTACTGTGGAGAATTTGAATTGATTTATTATTTTCTTTTTTAATGTTTGATATGGTTCCTGATTGTTAATTTGATTTTATTTTTCTCTGCTGCACAAAGGTCAAGTGTTGCTTTAGAATAATTTTCAGAAGCCAGTGTTGGCCAATCAAAAAAGCCAGAACAGTGAGATCTCTCATGCCTTCATACAGTATTCTGTACATGCTGTATGTATTTTGTTGTGATATGAAGCAACACCTGCAACTGGGAGACTGAACTGTGGTGTCCCCCTTCCCAATTGTAATTCTCAGACAAACCCAGAATCTGAAAAAAAAAAAAAAAACATGAGCAGAGAGAAACATTTCTTAGCAGCTGCTATCACACACAGCCTTTTGGTGCAGTGACACAAACACTACCTGTTACAAGGTAGTTGGCCAATGCACAGTAGATTATACAAAGTGGTACTATCGACTAGTACTTTTTGTCTTTTTATACCAATGCAACTTTACAGTTTTCTTGCTACTTTCAAGCTAAGAAAAAGTAGAATTGATCAAAAATTTAACTCAATAATTTGAAATCATTTCACAATTGATTAAGAAATAAGAACCAGTGTCTGGGTGACAACGCTTGGCCTTTTTGTTGTGACTCCTCAGTATTTTGATGTCCAGGTGATCTCCGTGAGATCGTGGCAGTAACGTTTTCACATTGAAAAGTCATCAGCTGATCTTGATACGCTGAAGCTGTGCATGTATGATATTGTTTGGTGCATCTGTGTTTTCTAAATGAGGGACTTAATAAAAACAATTCACTGAGGTTGTAAGATCTGCTGGATTCCTTTTGAATTATGAGTGGCATGGTGTCATTTTCAGCATCAACAGTTTTTATGTCTTTTACTGCAGGAAGAATTTGAGCGGTGCCTTTGGGCACCATCAAAGCTATAAAATGCATAACATTATGGAATAGCATATAAATGAGTGTAAAGGCAGCATTAATATACTATCCTGTGAATATAGTACACATTGGCAAAGGTTTTTGCTGCATAAACTAATTGGTTTATTAGGCTTTAATAACCGTCATCACAGAGATTCTACCAGTATGTATAAAATGTCTGAAAAGCACCATCTAAAACGCACATCAAAGAGATCTGCACTTTAGCTTTTGCAAAGAATGGATGTCCTTGGCTTATATTAGAGCATCCATGCATGCACGTTCAGGTACTTTCTTCTGAAACAACGGAGTGACATGGAAAGCTACCGTAAGATATTGATTGAGGCAGTGTTGCAGAGATGCTTTTAAGATAATAAGAGGGAGAGGACCCTGTGAAGAGATCAATAGGAAGGGGAAGTGAAGAAAAGAGAGGTTTCTCCCCACACACCACAGATCATCCATAATGAGCTGTTGTGTCAATACCTCAGCAATGGCTCTTTACATGCTATTGACCACTGAATCACCACACCGGGCTGCTGTAAGTTCCTTTTGCACTACACACTAAATGAAGGATATTATGTGCAACATGCATACCCCAGACTGCCGCCTATTTATAAGACCTTGGAGTGAGATTTGTTTGGGGCCAACCAAACCAGCTATTTTTTGTTTGGCCTATTCAGGATCCTAACCATAAGGCCTCAAAATAACATTTTACAAAGCTCTCAAAATGCCTGTAGAAGCACACAAAACTAATAATAAAAAAATTCTTCTTTGGGCTAGATGAAACATACATACCTGAAAAGGTATGTACGACCACTACGACCAATTGAAATTCTACCGAGAACATATTTATTTATTGACCTGTACAAGCCCATGTATGAGTTGCTGGTACCAGCATTGTGCATAAAATCACCAGATTATCAAATAAATTAAAATAAACTGAGATAACATCTGCAACCTGGTCTATCTATCTATCTATCTATCTATCTATCTATCTATCTATCTATCTATCTATCTATCTATCTATCTATCTATCTATCTATCTATCTATCTATCTATCTATCTATCTATCTATCTACTTCCCAATCCCCCCCTCCTCTCTGTATTTCCCCCTAACTCAGCAGCAGCGTGCAGATGTCTGACATGAGTCTGGTCCTGCCCATGGTTTCTGCCTGATGAAGGGAAGTTTTTCTTTCCCGCAGTCGCTCATGTTGATGGGTCAAAGCTTTCCCATCTTCAGCTCGGGTCCTTGTAACATATCAAACAATGAGCGTGGACTTCACCTACTCTTTTGGAAAGCGTAATGGGATAACAGTGATGTGATTTGGCCCTATATTTAAAAAAATATTGATTGATTGATTGAACTTAAAACATTTTCTACTTATAGTTTATTTACTGAAATTTGTAACATTTAGATAACAATATTAGTTTAGGCTATGTGATTCTCAAAACAGGAAAAAAAAGGTTAATGATTCAGTTCATTCCTTTTCAAAAAATAGATGACCTTTAAGAAACATCAGTTTGAGTATTTAAAGACAATCAACATTCACAATTCTTCTAAACTTATTTCACAACATTTTTCGGTTTTATACGAACACACTCAACTTCACTCTGTCAGATACACAGTGAACTCTCCTAGTAGGCGACTAAAGTAAAGACATCATGACTCCCCTCGGAATGTAACGACGAGCTCAACGGAATTCTCAAAAACACACACCGGTCTCTCATTGTTTCCGACCGTTTTCATAAGCCCATTCATAAAGGGCTATACAGGCTTCTTCGTACTTTTTGGTCCATGGGTCAAATACGGGTCTTCCTTTTCTTTTTTGCTGAAGACGGACACTTCAGCGTGAGAAATCGGGAGTGAGGCGTTAGAGCGTGTGTAGCCAATCAAATGCGTGTGTCTCAGGGCAAATGCGTGAACACCATATGGTGAACACTGTCAGCTATTCGCATACCCTATGTGTCACCTGTTGTTGATAACTGCTGAATGCATTGAAAAACATAAAGCGCCAAAAAGGTATATCGGCTCGGACATGATTGATGTGTAGCTCTTCTCTGCTTAAATCACAACGGTGCAGTTGCTGTACCTTGGAGTATAATTCAAATGTCAACACTGACCCCTCGTGGTAGTAGTATATACTTGCTACTTTGTGATCAAGTTGAGTGGGTGAAATGATACACTAGACAGAAGGCGGTGTCTGCAGTGACACTGCGTTGAATTTGTAAATTTATGATCAGTGACAGACCGTGGGAAAGGACTCTTTTTCGTTTTGTTCCTTTTATTAAGCGGTTATAAAACACACCACTGTGCTCAGAAAACTCTCAAATGTTGTTATGAAGCTGAAGTCACGTGACCCACGAATTCCACAAGTTTAAAAAAAATCCAGACATTTTATGCATAATTACATAAAAAAAATTATGGCATAATTTGTGGAAATAATTTCTGTCAAAGTCCAGCTCCAGCTATTTGTTCCAGTTAAGGCCGTTCAACTCCACACCGATTGGTGGCGCTGCCGTCATCCAGCTGCTTTACGAGCATCCCCAAAGAACAGTGAAGGAAAGACGGTTGCTTCCTGTTGCTCACATGTACACAACCAGATGATGGCTTCTGTAAAGAAAAGTGATTCCACGAGCAGTGGCCCGAAAGAAGCCGATTCAGACACCAACGACGAGGAAAAACCCGAGCTGTGTCCCGGTTTTAAAGACGTGGATACCTTCGTAAAAGTAAGTTGAGTGATTCTGGGCTGGACGCAGCCCTAAGTTATGGCTAGCCGAGACTCGAGTGGGCAACGTGGGCATAGGTGTTTACTGTGTGATGTGGTACACACACTTCAAGTTATTATTTGGTTGAAAACGTATGGCTAATAATTTGCATTAAGTACATCCTGAGGTGGGAGCTTTTTTGGTCCACGCATTAACTAAATTAAAGTATTCCTGTTATCAGTCAAATGTGTTTGTGTAATTCTTGAGGGGCTTTAAGCAGATACACCTTTTCTATTCAGACTGTTAGATAATAGGCTCCCCAAAGACATTCCCACATATCAATGGCAATGGCATAATTATCAAGAAGTATGACAAACACATTCATCATTTTCTTCTGAGTGAAAAATAAGTTTATGCGGTCACCAAACAATGAAACCAGTTGTACCTAAAAGAGTACCAGAATAGTCTGCCCAAATACAAGTGCCGTTGTTTCAATAACATTTCCCCATCAACTACCAGTCTGAAGTAAAAGTACTATTTAAAATGTACTTTGAGGATTGTGTACTGTTGAGGTGAAGGTGAGGCTATCAAAATATGGCTCCCCAAGTTATTTCAAAAGCCACTTTTCCAAAACCAGTTCTGGAAATACAATCAACGTCATTACTGTGTGAAGTGACTTTGACTATGAACTAGGGCTGGGCGAGTAAACGTCAACGATATATATCGAGAATTAATTTTCCTCAATATCAATATAAAACATGGTCAATATCCTTTTCGATAGTCGGCGTTCTGCCATGTTTTGGTAGGCTATACAAACAGCCAATGAAAAGGGGAGTTGCTCTGGGTCCACTTAGGGCTGAACCAATCATGTGCTGAATTCAAACAAAGTAGCAAACAACTGTGTAGTAGCAGGCTGCAGCTACATGCAACCATAGCATTTTAACACGGGAAGCTGACAGCACTGTTGGTAAGAAAAAAATAAAATGAGTGATACCCCCGACAGAAATGCAGATGAAGGTTCAACAGATGATGACATCGTTGACAACATTGGCACGAAAACGTCAGTGGTGTGGAAGTATTTTTTTTTTTTGAGGTCGGGCATGAAGCAGAGTAATGCGCACTGCAAATTATGTTGAGTACATGTTCTCAGAAAGTTGAGGTATATCTCAAATCTTTTTCACCACCTGAAGCAGTGCCATGCGGCAGAGCATGCGCCGTGCAAAAGGTTACAAACCCCGAGTAGAGCAAAGAGCCCGTGGCGCCTGTGCGGCCGAAACAGCCAATCATTCAGTCCACCCTCTGTAGCACAACGCTTTACGACAAAACGTTGCAGTAGTTTGTAAAAGACATGCTATCAATCAGAGGTGTTAAATATCCTTTTTTATATCATGATACATATTGATATTAACTGATATGAAATAAATATATTGTGATAATCTTTTTCCCATATCGCCCAGCCCTACTATGAACTGATCAGGGAGAAATTAGTAAATAAGTTTGCTGCATTTTTGTTAATATTGCAGTAGGTAGATTGTCCCTTCTTGCCTAAATTATGGCAGGACAATATTGAAATAGGCTTTATATTTAGGCCTGTGAGATTGGTGTGTTAAAGTTATAAGATGTTATGACTAGAGATTCGATTGATATACCAGGTAAGATCTGATGGTTTTGCGATGTTTACAGTCTTGAATAAGCCAACTGTCATTTGGTTGTTGTAAAGCTTGTATAATTTAGCCAATTTTCCACCCAGTTACCTATAAATTTGAATTGTATGTATTGTGATTATGAGCAAACAAATCTTACTAACATCTGTCACATTCATCTCTTTACTGCAGTATGGATTGGGTGCTGTGTTATCAGCCACCAAGGCATCAGCTGCCTTACCTCAAGCAGGGGATGAGTATGATTTTTATCGAAGCTTCCCAGGCTTTCAGGAGTTCTGTGAAAGTCAAGGAGATAAGCTTTTGCTGTGGTGAGTATTTGGTGTGTTATTGCTTCTCTTGAGTTTTGGCTCCGATAGGCTCGCAGCTGTCTCTGCAGATGTTCGCTCTTTACAAGTGCCACATTCTAGACAATGTTGTTTGGATGCTGAGTGGAAGGCAGCTTTGTGCTGCTGAAAGCAGGTCTGACGGAGCCTTAGACATACAAACAGTTGAGTGGGTTTGCTGACTGATTTGTCACCTTATTAAAATAAACTAATGCTTCACGCTTCCTCCCTGTGCTAGCATGAGTCAGATAATGCAGCACCACAGCTGCAGATCCCACATGAGAGACCAGAATAAGCTGACGGGAGTGGAGGAGAGGTTTGACTTGGTTGTGGACTCCAACGACATCATCCTAGAGAGAGCGGTATGACTGCAGCTGTGATGCTCAGCAAACCCTTTCATAAAAAAAATGAAAAAAGAAAAAAACCTTGGCAAGAGAACCAACCAAGCTTTTGTATCTGCTTTCTAGGGGATCCTTCTTGATGAAGCCGATGGGGTGAACAGAAGCCAGAAGCCTGTCATGCCTGCAGGGTTTCAGCCCCCTAAGATAGTGGTTTCCAGCTGGAATCGCAAGGTTGGCTAATTAACCTGTCAGCTCCTGTACTGCAAGTGCCTTTTTTTGGCCGCATTTTTAGCTGAAATATAAAAAGTTTTGGCATTCAAGAACTTAAAGCAGCAGATATTGTTCATTTATTTGTTAATATTTTTATTTGAACACTTGATAAATAGTTTCACCAGTATTTCATGCTTTTTGGTTTATTGATCAGGGCCCAGGCTCTGGCAGTCGATCTGAAATGTTCCGACTGCTCCATGCCAAGAACGTTGCAAGGCCCCAGCTGAAATTCAAGGAAAAAATCGACAACAGCAACACACCATTTACTCCAAAGATCTTCATCAAGCCGAATGCAGTGAAGCCTCTTGCTTCTTGTGAGACATCCTTTTTTAAAAACTCTCTTTTTTCACATGTTTTTTTTTTTTTTCTGTCAGCTCAGGTGTTTCTAACATTTTCTGTCTTTCTCTGCTTTCTCAGATTTCACCAACAAACAAAGTCACAAACAGAGACCCGAGGACATTGATGTCCCAGCTGCCCTGGCAGACTTTATTCACCAGCAGAGAACTCAGGAGCATGTTGAAGACATGTGAGACATTCTCTTTTTTGCAGTATGAACAGTTTGTGTTTTCTTTTTTCTGACTCATAAATGTGTATATTTTCTTCATGTAGGTTTGCACACCCATACCAGTATGAATTGGATCACCTCATAGTACCTGAAAGCCTCCTGTCTAAGCCAGAACCACAGGTGTGTCAAGGAAGTTATAAATGTTTTACTCTAAATATTGGTCAGACTTCAACTAAATTTCTCTTTCTTTGTTTTAATATTAAGATGTACAAACCAGTGGCTGACACAAAGTGCTCATTTATCGACTCCCTGGAAGATCTAGTTGCTCTGAATGAGAAGCTTTGCAAATTGCCCGAATTTGCAGTGGACCTTGAGGTACCAGATTAGAACATTTCATAAAAGGCTTGTCATTTGGTGTTCAACAAATACAGATGAGGTGGCTTTGGCTGTTTTTAATCAGTGTCTATTCACACTAATTTCCCTTTTGCAGCACCACTCCTACAGGAGCTTCCTGGGCATCACCTGTCTGATGCAGATCTCCACCAGAGAAGAGGACTTCATCATTGACACCTTGGAGCTCCGTAGCGAGATGTACATCCTGAATGAGGCATTTACAGATCCAGCTATAGTTAAGGTAATCTGCTATCTTTAGTTCTGCTATCATCGTCTTTGGGTTGGGTACTGTTTTGATTTTATTGAGCCCAGTGCTAATCCTATTCCACCTATAGATTCCAGTCTTTCTCAATTCTTCATTTTAATTCCAGTATAATTACAGTGAGGGAAAAGAAGAAAATGTGTTTCACAAACAAAATCAAATAAGCCTGACTTTATTGTTCTTTTCTCTTCATTTATCAAAATTAACATTATTCTTCAAGAAAAATTGAAAACCAGAAATATTGAAATTAATAGCATACAAGTCTAATGAATACACTTCAGAATATAACACATTATTAGTGCTGTGACTTAATTTCTCCCGCTGAAATTATCCCAAGAGCCACTGAGGTGAAAGATAGCCAGGTGAACAGCTGACACGTCTTCTGTGCCTATTGTTTCCCACTTGTAAATGAAACAGGTGGTCCAAGTCACATTTTCCTAGTTATTCTTTTTTTGTAAAAGAAACCAAATGCAAAATAAAAACAAAGCAAATTCCAACAAACAGCAACGCCAGGATGATGAAGATATAGATGGTCAAAAAACTGTTTGCTCCTCTAGCTACCAACACAACTGCCACGAATTGCGTCTTCTTCTATTTATAGCAAACAAAACCCAAGACTTCACGCCACCTGGTTTGGCACCAGGACAATTACAACTGAAATATGTTTCAAAACACAAACCTAAAGAAAATATAGCAAATGGCTCCAACAATTAGCATACATAATGTGTTTTTGATACCTAAATGGGGACTCAACAGAGGCAGAGAGGTGTAGCTCCTCCACCATAAATCGCATCACCCAACAGTTTCTGAACAACAGGGCCTTTTGTAGCAGGTTGGGATGGTGAGGTACTCTTTGAACTTGCATCTAACACATTTCAAATATTTGTAGATATGATATGTATACCTCAATATGAATTTGAACCTCAGCTTAACAGTGTTCGGACTTGAGTGTGACGAAATGTTGCCACAGCTGCGACTACTAGCTGTAGCTCAAGTCTTTTTTGTTAACAGGAGACAGCAGCACATTGAACTCAGAGCAGTGCCTCAGATTCTTGTTATGTCAGTGTAAATGCTTTGTCATATTGGGCGTGTTTTTTCCCTTAGTGTGTCATTATTATCACTTCAGTGAAGTTTAACTAAACTTTGTTACGCCTGCTGCAGTCTGCCGAGATCCTCTTGTCACAACTTTGTTTACGTGCTGCGACACAAGTGGCGCAACTTTCTGCTAACCCAGCAGGTCCTGGGAGATAAGTTAAACTTAATGAAGACACCTAAATCCTCTCTGAAGTTAAGTCCATATAGATTTTTGTTGCTGTTAGATCCAGAAAAAGAAAGCACTATTCACATCTCTTAATGCACGAATCTCTGTAGATTTAAAATTTTCAATTTACTTTTTTGACCGGTTTGAAACTAAAAAGCATTTTCCTTAACTTTTTAAATTGTCAGCTCATTGGGAAAGCTGAAAACTCAAAAATTGAGTGCATTAAATGGTTGAAAATGCAGTGCACAGGCATGACAGATAGTCAGTATTGCTCTGTGCTGTAAAACTGTGTGACTGAGTGTTGCTACAACTGAACACTTAAGCTACCCTTAAAATTGCCTCAGGGAGTCGTTTTATTTTTCAAGCAGATTAAATTAAAGATGGCCTAAACTCCTGAAGAAACATGTCACAACGGAACCACCAAATCATCCCCTTTTGTAATAAATTACTAATTCACAGAAAGAAAAAAACCTCTCATCCAGAGCAGTGACGATAATTTTACAAAGACTGAAAAACTCTGAGTCTGAGCAAGACTGTCGTTGAGGTATCTCGCAGCCCTACAGTTTTCAAAGATGTTTAATGAAGTCTGCGGGTGTCCTGAGGTGTGTGGGCGCCACTATGACTCACACACTGTAGGATTCCTGTGAAAATGTGCAATGTGTGGGCTTGAACCACCGAGAGATCTGTGAAAAATGAGCCAAATGGAAATAAGTCATGTGGTGTCTCCCCAGCTTTTATATATTTTTGGTTCCAATATTTTCTGTATCCAAGCAAACTACATTTTATTCTAAGTTGGGTGCTCACCGGAGGGGTTTCAGGTGTATGTGCTTTCTTCCCTGGTTATAGGTTTTTCATGGCGCTGACTCTGACATTGAGTGGCTGCAGAGGGACTTCGGCTTGTACATTGTCAACCTTTTTGACACACATCAGGCCAGCAGAGCTCTCAACATGGCCAGGCATTCCCTCGACCACCTGCTCAAACACTTCTGCACTGTGGACTCAGACAAACGCTACCAGCTGGCTGACTGGAGGATTCGGTACGGGGATGATTGGGCTGTTATCTGCAGTCATTATTTGAAGTTCAGGGGGTCCCTTGAAGCAGAACAGGTTGTTGATATGTTATTTTCAACATAAAGAAGTTGAATTATAGTAAAAAATGTTTCAATCTTGACCCTGAAGCCCCTTACCAGATGAGATGGTGCAGTATGCTCGGACAGACACCCACTACCTCCTGTACATCTATGACTGTGTGCGGGTGCAGCTGTTGGCCCACAACAACAGCCAGCCCGGCCTGCTGCGAAGTGTCTGGAGCAAGAGCAAGGACATTTCCCTGAAGGTGAGGTTCCCTTTCATATTTTTTTTTACATTTCCACACTGTAACCTGCTGCATTTTGCACCATTCTTCATGCTCCCTCTTCCATACAGAAATATGTGAAGCCCATATTCACCGAGGAGTCATATTTGGAGCTGCAGAGGAAGCAGAAAAAGTCTTTCAACACCCAGCAGCTCATTGCCTTCAGACTGCTGTTCGCCTGGAGGGACAAGCTGGCCAGGCAGGAAGATGAAAGCACAGGGTAGGCTGTTTCAAAATGGACTGACTTCCTGTTGTGGAAATCCACAATAGCTGTTTTCCCTTTTTTAAGTGGTGTCCTGCCAGGTTTGGCAATTAACATGAGTTTTTGACAGTATCTCTAGTTTCAAAATCTTTCATACTTTTTTAACATCCATATTCAAATCAAACAATGTTTGTGTGTTTGTTCAGATACGTCCTGCCTACTCATATGATGAGCAAGATCTCTGAGGAGCTGCCTAAGTAAGTCGGGGAAATGTTTCAGATTTGTTTGTTTTCTTTTTTAAAGGTTAGTCTGCACAGAGTTTTTATAAAAGTAACATGTTAATGTCAACTTATAAGACGTGCAAACATAGATATGCCAAAAAGTCAACACAGAAGAATCTTACTGCGTATATCCCCTGACCTCACACACCACTGGATAGGTAACCAACCTGAGAATGTCTGTGAACAGAAAAGCGTGGCACAACCTCACATGGCTTTGAGATATGATTTAGAAATACTAACCCTGTCTATTAATGAGTGAGTAATCCCTTTGTACAGGTTCTACATACAAAGTAGAATCTGTCTTGTGCTTATTCCACCACCATCTTCTTGGCTAAATGCTGTAACTCAATAACAAACCCCTCTCTGCATTTTATGGTGGTATATCAGTCACACGGTTGTGTATAAACAGTATTAAATGTGCCTTGTATACCAAATTCACTGTAATTACTGTATGTTAATTCAATCTGAGTAAATTAATCTGTGATGATGTGGTGCTCCTCACAGTAATAGTTGGTGAGATTATTCCTGATGAATTAATCCCAGAGCCAGTAATTAATTTAAAAGTCCTCGAGCAGTAGTTTGTGGCCTTAATCCCTCTGTAATACATTTTGTCTGTATCTACTCAGAGAGCCTCAGGGCATCATTGCCTGCTGTAACCCTGTACCCCCGCTAGTGAGGCAGCAGGTCAATGAGCTCCACCTGTTGGTGCAGCAGGCCAGAGAAACACCTCTTCATAAGGTGAGGTAGAACAAGCGCCAGCTGTTGGAGCAAATAAATGTAGTCACTGATTTCATGTCACTGTTGTTGTTGTTGTTGTTGTTTTTGTGTATTTGTTTAATGTGGCACTTCTATCAGCCAACAATGTGATCTGTCTTTAATTCTATAAAGGCGGAGATTGCAGCTCAAAAGAAGAAGGGACTGACCCCCATAAAGAAGGTTGGTCTCAAACTGATGAACTTGATTGTTTCTCTTTCGTCTCTAGTTGTTGAAAAAAACACAACTCAAGTGAAATAAATGTGTTTGCAATTTTCCAGCCAGAGATCATGTTGTTCGGTCCTCATGATACATCCAGGGTCCCTGAAAGTGACCTCCACCCTTTTTCTCCCGGCGGTAAGCTTGACACCTGTAGATCCCTTTCATCATCTTGCTGAGTTTGCATTTAAAGCCTATGGATTTTTCTGTTTGTTTGTTTTCAGAGCTGCCCGTGAAACAGGGGTTGCTTTTCTCTGAGGAAGAGCACAAAATGGATGTTGATGTAGAGAAAGCACACAGTCTCATGGCACCGGCTAAAATCACTCTGTTTGAGGTAGGTAGGACCAGCTTTTGGTCGACTTAATTCAGCCAGTTTATTTTGACAGCATTGTGACAGCTGACAGGAGTTCATGCTATTGATATATGTTGAAGGAGATGGAACCAAAGACTGACCAGGAGACCCACCCTGTTTCCCAAATGAAAGCCAGACGAATCATTGAGTCTTTCGAAAACCCTTTCAGAATGGTAAGAAATGCTCAGTGTAAACCTTGCTTTTCATTGCATATAATAGAAGCAGTACTGAACAATATGCTTTATGGTTTCAGTATCTTCCCTCCAGTGATGTGCATGTCAACAAGAACGCCAAGTTTGACCCATCTTCAAAAATATTTGAGGTCATCCCAGTGCTCCACACAGTCATACACACTCTAGCTTGATTACATTGTCCCTTTTACATGAAAGTTTAGATGTTCACAGCTGCACTGTCTCACATTTACAGATCAGTAAAAGATGGAAGCTGCAGAGTATTGAACAGCAGCAGAAAGAGATGGAGGAAAAGAGGAAGGCTAAGCAAGAAATAAGGGAGCGTGCAAAGAAAGCGTCAGGTATCAGCTAATCAGCTTTAATTTGACACTGTGTTGAGTCATGTTTCTTAATCCGTGCAACGTTGATTTACACAGAGGAAAGAAACAAGGCAAAAAAGAGCTACCAGGAGTCTCTCCAGAACGTTCCAACAGTTCGCCAGCAAGCAACGGTGAGTCATTTGTTCTCTTGATCTGCAGTTTCCTCCCTGCTGCTTCATGTTCTGCAGTCTATCAACTTCACTGCTGACACACCAGATGGGGAAAGTAAAAATCCATGAAAACATGAGTTGTACTCACCCGAGAGCCTGGTGCTGAATATTAAAGATAGCGCTTTAATAGCAAGGTTAACCCTCTCAAATGCCCCCCATTTCCTCAAGACAGGGCTGGTGTTTCTGCAGTGACTCATGAATGAGTGAAACACTGCTGCCAATCTGCAGGAGCGGCATGTTCGAGCTCTTTTAATATTTTTATCTGTCTCACAATGTGTCTGGGGAAGAAGGGCTCACCGCGTGGGATTGAAGCATCAGAGACATGTCTCTACTCATCAAACACTTCTCTCCCCTCTGGGGAAGCAACAAAAGCTACTGTCTGCCCAAAAGCCCACTTCCCCTGGCTCTGTCTCTCTGGGGTATCGCTCGGCACCCTCCTGCTCCATTTCTTATGTGCGCTCTTGCCACCATATGGCGTTTCCTTTCTGTTTTAAATGCTCAGTTTGACTAAAGTCTCTCCACTCCATCTTCTGCTCATGTCGCCAAAGAACATGCTGAATGGTCATAGTGGTTTGACTGTCCCTGCAGGTGGCACCACTTCCCTTCTGCCTCACTCTGTGTGAGCCTTCAGCCATCAGTCAGCAGTGCACACAGTAATGGTTTGCACCACAGTAATCCATTGTATGATGATGGCTTAAGTGAAATTTGGTTTTAAGGCGCTCCCTGCTGAAATGACGCTGTCAAATGAGCACGTTGGCAGCGTCTGGTCTGTGGCATGCATTACAGTCAGAAGCGCTGGCAGCAGCACTTGAAAGTAACACTCATCAACCTGCCAACTGCAGCAAATATTGGCTCTGTCAGCTAGCTGTCAGTTTCAGCCGGCACTTTGGCAGTCAAGTTTTCTCCTCTTATTTCAGTTTGAAAGAAAGCTGTGTGATTTTCTAAAGCTTCTACTCCAAAGGTATTAATTAACATCACAGTGGGTACGCACTGTAATTGGGCTCAGAAATTATTAGGTTTCTCGTTCGCTTGCATCTTTTTTTATCAGGAAGAAACAAAATAAAATGACACAGGGTCATATTAAGATGAAAAAAATGGAAAGAAAACTTGATTTTACAAGTTGAATAACAGGAAGCCATTAAAGTTCTTTTGCTAATGAGGATAGTTAATTAGAGGAGCTGGTGTATGTTAAAGATCATTCACATCTCCAAACTCACACAGACTGATAATGAACTGCAGATAGAAGAGAACGTGTTTTTACCAGTAAATCTCTGTTTGTAGCCCCAGTTATCAGATTTGTTAACAGGTCTGAAGGTGACACCTTTGTAAGGTGACACAGATGCTGTCATGGATCCTTTACACTGTGATCTCAATATGTGATGACTTTTGACTTACCAAGCCTTGAGGAAATCCTTTCTTGTGATATATCACATCCATAAATATTCTGAGAATCCTCTCTGAGAGCTCCTAAGGGAGCTCCAAAACTTAAAGCAAGGAGTCTGAGTTTAAGAGGGATTTAGGAACATACTCTGAGGAACCTTGAGCGAGAAAGAGACAGAAACTCTACCTTGGTAAGGGGGCATGGTCCACCCTATGGCTGGGTATGACACAGTATTTTAAAAGCTGTGATTGGCTGATCCACAAGGAGAGAAAAACTTTTCTCTGGGCAAAGAGGGATGATGAAATTGATTGGCCTTAGCCTGGAATTTGATTAGATACACTGATTAGCCAAATTACTGAAATAATATAGATTATTCATGATTATTTAAAGGGGTTTTAGTCCAAAGATGGGTTAAGATTTATGGTAGATATTAGCATAAAGCTGCAGTGTCAGTCATCAATCTGCTAGCCTGATGGCTACGAATGAGAACATTTTTAAAAAGAATAGTAATCAGAGAAATACGAATAACATTTAGTGGGAATGCTTCGCAATCCCACTCAAAAAATTGACTCAAAGAGTTTGTTTTGACTTGTGCCCTGCAGTAACAGGAGCAAGCATTTAAAATTGTTATAGAAATGACCAGTCTTGCTGTTTAGGGTCTTACTGAATAAGACCGAATCAGAATAAATTTTAGTGAGTTTCACAACCAGTTAAAACCTTCTGGCAGGAGCTTTAACCTCTTTAAATTTCCCTTTATTAGCTTAGCTTTTTTTTCTGTAAACTGATATAGTCAATATGATTGGACGGATAGTTGTATGTTTGATGGTACAAAAAAACTCTGCACACTAACAGCATTTGAGCCCATATTCTGTGGCTGTCATCCAACATTATTTCTCACCTTGCTTGGTAAACAAAATAATGAAAATATTCAGTGCTTCACTGAAAATGATGTTGCTGACTGCAATCTTCAGGAATCAGCAAAAGAAGGGGGACAGAAAAGAGAGAGGGTTCCGAGTGAGGCCGGAGAGTCGACTCCCAAACCCAGTAAGAAGCTGATGAAATCTGCAGAGAAACAGCAGAAGACAGAAGCACCACCTCAAGACACCTTCAAGCCCTTCGACTACAGTCAGTCAGACCTCAAGGTCTTTGCTGGTATGGACGTGCATTTCTTTTTTCTAATCCAGTGGATGTATTATCCATAGCTTCCTATTCAACTGAAGGCGTTCACATCATAAAAAAGATTTTTTTTATTTATTTTTTATTTTGTAGGCACCAAGGCAAAAGACAACACACAATTCGATCCAAATAGGCAAGCCCATGATTCCCAGAGAAAGGTATAGTAATAATAATGTCAATGAATATGCTATTTCACAGTTTATGTTGTTTTGTGTCAGTGAGATAAAATTTCCATCCAACAGAAAACTCCCAAGGGACAAAAGTCCAATTTTGGAGCTGGAAACCGAAGTATGTCATACCTGGCTGGAAAATCTGACAGGTAAAACATTACTACAATCAAAACAAAACTTTATTTCATACATTAAAAGCATCTCTGTATTTTACCATTCTTTCTTTGTCTTTCTTTCAGAGGATTCAGACATAACTGGCCCAAAAGATAAACTGTCTTTGATGTTCCTCTCTCATCATTCTTTTTTAGTCTTGTAAAGACCAGGAACTGGTTATCTCCCCTTTTTTTTCAAGTGAAGTTCAGTGTTTTAGTATTTAATGGTCTTTATTTTTTCTCATATGGAGCAGTTTATTCTGTAAATATGTGGATTCACAGACCTCATTATTAAAGCCGATTTCAGAACAAAAAAGTCTTGCCTACATTTTTATGTAACTTCAAAAAATATGGTATTGGGAGTGTGTGGAAGAGCAATATCATAAAATATTATACTCAGACCAAGTTTGATGTATAGAGCTCATGTTCCAGACTGCTCTGACATTGGTTTACTCTCTTCATATTAATTTGTTGATTGATTAATCTGTTAAATTCACATGAAGATTATGTTTCTCAAGTATCAAAGGCAACTGTAACTCTGTCTCCGTTCTTTGTTTAAATACTGCCTGTTTGGCCCTGAAGAGTTTGACTAGTTTATTTACATATTTGCTTGTAATGTCCTCTGGATACAACAGTCTCATGTCAGCATTGAGGCCTGCCTTTTGTAAACTGACAAACAACAAGAACAAACTTTTACTCTGTATACCATAGTGAACTAGGCTATAGGTACGATCTTAATCAACACTGAAATTTAACAGGCCAAAAACCATGTCCATCATGAGGCCCCCCTTAGGATCAGTTTAATCTGAATTGACATGCCTGAAATAGCTCAAATCACTTTTCAGCTGGTATTGGTTACTTCTGCAATCCTTTCAAGGCTTGCTTATTCATGGTGTCTTTGTGATGATGCATCCTTGACTTGAAGCTGGCAGAGAAACATAAAAGGTTTTGCTGTTGAAATGATAATGGAGTACATTTTCAGCAATATTTTCTAAACATACAAATCATTCATATTTTTTCAGCTTTGCTTCTTTGCTGTTGGCTATAGTTTGGTAAATTAGTATTATGACTGTTTTTCTTGTCAGAGAATGTCAACCAGTTGAAATCTATACTGACAGTTTCCAGATGCGTCTTTATTGATTACTATTTTACACAATCTAATGTACCTAGTATTGTTCCTGTCCCTGTATGAAATAGTCATTAAATCTGAGCATTTGTCATCCAGATCTCATACATTATTACATTCTGCTGCAAAGAAGCTGTAATCTTCTCTCTAAATCATCTGCTCTTTCCCTGACAAATGGGTCTCGTTTGTTTTCCTTTTGCTTACTTTATCCTCTGGATATAACAGTCTGGCGTTATGTGAGCTCTGAGACCAGCTTTGTTTATACAACCTAAAAAACAAACTTCCACACTGTGAGCAAACCTTTGGATTAAGCAATATTGTGTAACAGCTTTAATAGGCTCTGACTGAGTCATCATTTACATTTAAGGAGGCTTCACCAAAAAAAGCAGCAACAGCAAAAAGGATGAATAAAATACAAAATATGAATACAGTGCATTACCATCTAGCCTAGTTGTTTTTTCAGGCATTGAATTGTAGATGTTTTATTTTCTGAATCCTTACAGGGACTATTTGCTTATAAGTTGAAATTCATATTTTTTCTCAATTTATGCTATTTATTTTTAAGTGATATTCAGATTATTCACCCAGGCAAACAGCTTCTAGACTCCTTTAGGCTGAGAGATGAATGTGGTATTTCTAAGGGCTGTAACAGCAGGTTAGGTCAGCACTTACGGTTTTTGCAAAACTTGAACCACTAAAGCAACCAAGTAGTTGAATTTTGCAGCTGATTTTAACCATTAATGTTGACTTTATGACTGTTACAGTACAGAAATGTGATAAAAGAAATGCATCTACTGCCTTCGCTTGTCCTGGCATATTTGGATCGTTAGCAATTACCTTATCTTTGTTTACCTCATCCTCTGGATTCAGCTGTTATGTAAGCATTGAGACAAGCCTTGTGTAAACAGACAAAACATAGTCATCAGTCAACGTTATTCCACAAATTTAAATGACTATGTAAAAGCGCTAATTATTAACACCAAAACTAACAAATATGTTCCGACACCTAATTTCCACATCTTTTAAAATACAATGTGTAGAAATGATTTGACTTTTTCTGCTGCTTTCGGTTACTTTTATGTGTAGTCTACAACGGTTCGTAAGCAAAAGAAAGTAGCCTATATAACGCACTTAGTGATACTAAAATGTAATAATTATATAAGAATAAAAAAGTATTTTTTTAAAACTACATCGAGGCCGCGGGACACATGGTAACGTCGCTCGAAGTAGAAGCAGCTTTAACGAAAGTCAAACAATATTGACTCGCGCAGCTCCATCCTTCCATCCTATTGGCTCGCATCAATATCAATAACTGACGTCAGGAGCATTCCATTATAAAAGCGTGGTGCGCCAGGTGGAACTGTCACACCTAAGTCACTTGCTACATCTCAAGCGTTACTCACCTGTGACAGTTGACAGCGAACATGGACCTCATTAAAGACCAGTGGTTCACGGAATTATCCCCACTGTGGCCCGGCCAAGCTACCAGCCTGCAGGTGGAGGAGGTCCTCTACCACAAGAAATCCAAATATCAAGATGTCATGGCCTTCAAGAGGTGAGCGTCTAGCAGTCTCCTTAGACATTTTTTTAATGTTTGTGTTCCAGTGAGACTTTTACATTGCAGATGAAGGATATCAATTGCCTGCATAAAAACTATTATCATCCCATAGCAATGTAAGAGCAGCATAAGGATCTTGAGTTTCTGAAATGGTTCTCTGGGCAAGCCATTAGATCTTTCCAAAGCCTTATCAGCAGCTGATCCCTAGTGGTTATTCCGTGCAAAACAGAGAGTTATCCATGACAACTTAATAAGAATCAGGGTTACCAAACTTTGACAGTTTGATGTGAACGTGTGCTTTTGTTTGCTGCAGCATCCTGTTCATAAGATTATAGATAGTAGCATGTAAGACATGTAGACCCTTAGACTTAGTTAAGTTTAGGGTGCATATTTTTTCTATTGTACCTCTTTAACTTCTCTGTAACTTTTCAGCACACACTACGGCAATGTCTTGGTGTTGGATGGAGTGATACAGTGCTCTGAAAGGGATGAATTTGCATATCAGGAGATGATGGCAAACCTCCCCCTCTACAGCCACCCCTGCCCCAGGAAGGTATCAGTCTCATTGATTTGCTCCAAAATGTGTGGATCTGCATTGATGCTAAACCTCTCAGCACGTCATGCTTTCTTGACACCAGATCATTTCCTTTTTTACAGGTGCTAATTATTGGAGGAGGCGATGGTGGTGTTGCAAGAGAAGTTGTGAGACACCCGCTGGTGGAGGAGGTGGTTCAGTGTGAGCTCGACGAGGTTCGAAAACACCACTGTTGAGATCTATCTTCTCACTTAAGCATACATAATATACGTATGTCTTCTATTTTATCAGAGTACACCCACTCATATTTTCACTGATCTGTCTGCTGTACAGGATGTTGTCAATGTAGCAAAGGAGTTCCTCCCAGGGATGGCTCAAGGGTTTTATAGTCCCAAGCTCACCCTGCACATTGGAGATGGATTTGAATTCCTGATGCAGAATGAGGATTCCTTTGATGTCATTATAACTGACTCCTCAGACCCTGTTGGTATGTGCTTTTGTAGTTAGAATAATGTTTTTGCAGTTGTCGCATAAGAAATTCCTGTTCTGAGCTCTGTTTTTTTTTTGTTGCAGGACCTGCCGAGAGTCTTTTTCAGGAGCCTTACTATCAACTTTTGAAGTCAGCTCTGAAAAGCGATGGAATTCTTTGCTCTCAGGGTAAAATACTGTAATTCCTTTTTATTTTATTACGCTTTCATAAGGGTATTGGTGACTTTAGGACAGCACTGACTTGACTCACTGAATGGCTCTTTGCAATTTCAAGCCCACTTGAAACTTGTTTTTTGTTTGGTATTTTTTCAACATCTCTGCAAGGTTTAAGTCCCCATTTTTACAGTCTGTCCTCTACTACCTGCTGATGGAAAATTGTCCAAAACACTGACAACATCTGCTCTTATAACTTTACAGGAGAGTGTCAGTGGCTCCATTTGGATCTGATAAAGGAGATGCGAACCTTCTGCAAGAAGCTATTCCCAGTGGTGGAGTATGCCTACGCCTGTGTCCCCAGTTATTCCAGTGGCCAAATTGGATTCATGCTGTGCAGTAAAGATCCTGTAAGTGCACCAGTCATTCTCATCTTGCAATCCACATGAGCACCTCTCCACACCTCTGGCTTATTGTTAAACCATTCTGTTGCACAATTATTAATCTGCAAAGTCCATCAGATGACTATTCTTATTCTTCCATGTCTTGTCTTATTTAGGAAACCAATTTCAGGGTACCAGAGGATGTCCTCTCAAAAGAAGAAGTTGAAAACATGGACTTTAGATATTACAACTCTGAAATGCACAAAGCAGCTTTTGTCCTGCCTGAGTTTGCAAGAAAGGTAAATGTTATAAGATCAATTTAACCTCCTTTAACTGTGTGAAATAAGTACTTGAAAGGAACAAAAATAATATAACTTTATTTCTACTTGATCATTGACAGGCACTCAGTGACGCATGACCAGCAACAACAGACCATCATGTTCATGATCTACCCTGACCCACAGACCACAGAAAAACAGTCTGGAGACCTCAACAGGTTCAGCTCCACTGAAGAGAGTAGTCCTTCTCCTCCCTGTCCAGCATACTGGTGGTGTTAAAATTAGTTTCTTAGGTAATATTTGTGGTTTATATTTTAACTCTTCAAGTCTGTTATGACAGTGTTTAGATGACTAACTTTGAAGGCTCAACTAAGTGGGGAGAAAGCTGCCATCAAACCTGACTGGATTTGTTTCATCCACACAAACATGTCATGTAAAATACCATGTAATCTTTTGATGCATTCAAGTAAAATAAAGTTGTGCTCAGCTCTTAACATTGTTGCTCTTTAAAATGTTGTCATTTGGTTTTAAATTACAAATGACTGGTACTCTAGTGCAGCTGTATGCTTAATCATTCATTTTTAAAACATACATATATGTTAAAATGCATAAACACACAAACTGACTATCAGACCTTAAGTATGTGTTTTGTGTGAATTGCAATTGATTAGTTGGCATAGAATGGCCTATGATGATTTCTTCTTATGCAACAACCACTTGCTATACATTGGCATGTGCTGTAAAATGCAAAAAGCTGGTTATAGATTTCAGGATCCTCCAAAAAGAGGTTGGTATGTCATGTAAGAGGAACAGATATTAATTTCTATATCAGTGTTAACTCAAACTGAGGAGTGCCTCAACCATAAAAACCATAATTGTTGCACTGGAAATTGGATTAGTACTGCTCAGCAACATCACAGTGCAGTTTATCTTCCTGCCCACCAGAGGGCACTTCATAGCTGATATGTCAAGTTACCTCCTGGCACAGTCTTAAATTTGCTGCTATGATATGAGGCCAAAGGGACAGACAGTCCAAATGTCCAAATACATACTCTTATGATGACCCTGTGGCTTTAATCAAGGCACATGGTTTCAAATTCTTTCACTTGGCAATAAAAACTGGTCTTTCTGAGCATGTATAAGTCAGCACAAAATCATCATGCTGGCTGGTAACAGAATAACAGTGGGCCTGATAAAAGGACTCAGAGAGACAAGACTTACATGGAGACCTGATCATCAAGGCCAGGCAGAAAGGGATGACAGTCCTTTTAGCTATCTCACAAATTCTGGTCACCTACATTGCCACTTCAGTAAATAGAGTCTTTGAGCATCTCTACCAACCAAGATGTCCAAGGGGCTCACAAAAGACACTAACTCACCCTGCTGTGGAATATGCACACCATCAAATGTTAATTTGCATCCTTACAAGATCTTTACACAAGGAGGTACTCTATGGCCATATAATCAAAAGGCAGCTTGGGATTTTCATCTAATAGGGCCTATGTAATCCTGTGATACATGACATAGTCTACTGCCTTTCGGTGAATTACCTCCATAATCAATGCGTAAATGCCCAAGGCTGTTTGAGCCTCGACAATTGTTTAGGATTCTTAAGCAAATCAAATCTTTAAAGTTTACCAATCCTAAAATTTCTTTTCAACCAAAGGTATGTCGATCGTGAATGTCTTTTCATGAGCTTTTTCAGCAGCTATTTTTCAAATGAGTTCACCTCATATGACTTTATGGTGCTGGTATCAGAACATTAGGCTACTGCAACAATCTCAGAGGTCCAACTGCAGTTTCAATATTCAGACACACGATGGCACCCTATGACCCTTTTTGAGCGTCAGTTGCTTAATTCTCTACCATAGACTGTATAAAGATAGTATATACAGTCTATGTTCTCTACACTTCGGTTTATGCAGCTATTTGTGGTGGAAATTTTGAAATGTAAAATGAAAACAACTACTGATAAGCCAACATAGGATAGTAAGAAAATTAATGCCATCCTGCATAAGGCTCACACTGTTGTAAGATTTAATTTTATTTGGCATGTCATTAAGAAGCTGATGATGTTAATACATGCACGTAACTCAATAAATCAGTGAACTTATTTATTTATTATTTTATTTATTTGTTGCAAAGAAGTGAAGTGCAATATAAATAATGATAGAAACAAGAAATAAGAAATTTAAAAAAACAGCACCAACAAAGACAATAACAAGAGACAAAAACAAACCAAAAACTCAAAGAAATAAATAAATAAGAAAAAAAAAATATAAATAAATAAATGATTATGGTACATCAGCAAAAAGGCAAGCAGAGCAAAAACACAAATGGGACAGGAGTAGGGAGTATCAGTTACAACTGTTCAAAATGTATGAAAACAGTGAACTGATTTAACACAGAGAGAAATGAAATACCAAAATACTAAAACGGAGAAACACATTTTACACAATATGTAAACATATTCAATCAGGTCAAACACCTAGCTATACGGCAGCCTATCAGATTTTGTGTGTTGAAATGACATCTCGAGGGGGTATTTTGACCTTCTACTCTGGAAGGCTGTTTATCCACTGAAAGGTCACTTGAGGGAGTCATCTCATTACATTTTATCCACTGGAAAGGTCCCAAGAGAGCACGTTGTTGCCTTTTTTACACTAAAGGGCACCGGAGAAGGCATGTTACTACATTTTTTTCACTGGAAGCGCCTTTTTTCATGTTTTATCAACAATGAAATCCTCCACACTTTTGGACGACCTCCCTATTGGGTTTTTGCAAAAAGAAAAAAAATAGATCAACCAAAACTACATCCCTTCTCTCGGATCCACGTATCCACGTTTGCTCAGGCGTAGGACGCCAGTGTGGTTCAGTCAAAGCTTCACGTGGGCTACAGCACAGTCGGTTCCTGGTACAGGGCGGGACCTTGCTCGACGCTTGTGGTGTAAAGTCAATCAAACTATGCACGAACCGGCAAGTCCTGCCAATTCATTGGCTCTGAGAACGGCCAGTCAGTGACACCAACACGATCCTATTCGTTACCAGGCGAGACATCAAGTTTAGCTGTCAGAAAACGGTGAAGTGTCAGATCTTTGTCGTAAGTTACTCACGTCGCCGCACTTATAGAAACATTACTGTTGCGTGTGGCTGGAAGAAGCCAACATGGACCATATTCAGAAAGGATGGTTTACAGAAACGTGCACGTTATGGCCCGGGCAAGCGATGAGCCTCCAAGTCGAAGAGGTCCTGTACCATAAGAAATCCAAATTTCAAGATGTTATGGTTTTTAAGAGGTGAGTAAATTTAGCATAACTGTGCTAATGTTGCTAACCACCAGTTTCTGACGATACTGTAAATGAATGAACGACCCGAAGCTCGTGAGATCATGCCAAGTTTATCCAGCTGGTTGCGATTAGTGCTTCTTTTACTGAAGTTTGAGCTCACTGTAAAACTAAGATGGTAGGTAATAAATATCTGAGAGTTAGCCAGGCTCACGCTGTGATGATGGCGTTAACTTCGAGTTAAATGAGTAACATCGACGCCAGTGACAGGTTAACCAAAATCACGCTAACGTAAACAACGTGTGGAAGTTTATTATAAGCTTAGTAAAAAAGCTGGTCCAGTATGTGCCTATCAAACTCTCTCTGAAATCTCACCCTCAGTAAAACCTATGGAAATGTCCTGGTGTTGGATGGAGTGATCCAATGCACAGAACGAGACGAGTTTGCATATCAAGAGATGATTGCCAACCTTCCTCTGTGCAGCCACCCCTGCCCCAAGAAGGTATCACTCCCTTTCATCGAGGGCTTGGTCCTGTATCTGCAGTATAGCAACATAATGAATGACTCGTATCCTGTCTTGACAGTCAGCATGCTTCCCTATCTACAGGTTCTGGTTATTGGTGGAGGAGATGGCGGTGTCCTGAGGGAAGTGGTGAAGAATCCCCTGGTGGAATCAGTTGTTCTGTGTGAAATAGATGAGGTGCCAGTATGAGGGTGTAGCCTTCTCTGGGAGAGCTAAACCACTCTTTCTTTTTTTTTCTCTCAGTGCTCCATACTGTATTCAAGTAATGTTTTGCCATATTAATATTGTTTTTGTGTAGGATGTCATCAATGTATCAAAGAAGTACCTCCCTGGAATGGCTAAAGGCTTTTTCAGTCCCAAGCTCACCCTCCATGTAGGAGACGGCTTTGAATTCATGAAGCAGAACCAGGATGCCTTTGACGTCATTATTACCGATTCATCAGACCCTGTTGGTGAGTATAATTCTTAAAACATCATATTTATTGACATACAGTGATAAAATATGGCCCTATTATGAGTTTATTTTCTGTGCAGGACCTGCTGAGAGTTTGTTCAAGGAGTCTTACTATCAACTGATGAAGGCAGCATTGAGGAGCGATGGAATTCTTTGTTCCCAGGGTAATTTCTTTTGACGTACAAGTTTTGTGTTGACAGTTGGAAAAAAACACACTTCCTAAATATATCCCAAAACTTTGTAATGTGTTTCCTCTAACTCCTCTCGATGGAGCAGAGGTGTTCTAGTTTATACAGTCTGACTTCAAACTTCCTGAAGGTTGAACAGAAAAAGGCAGATTGTAAATTACTGTGTGCCCTCTCTTCCGCTCTTGTGTAAATTTAACAGGAGAGTGTCAGTGGCTCCATTTGGAGCTGATAAAGGAGATGCGAACCTTCTGCAAGACCCTATTCCCCGTGGTGGACTATGCCTACGGTACCATCCCAACTTATCCCAGTGGCCAAATTGGATTCATGCTGTGCAGTAAAAATCCTGTAAGTGTTTCTGTCATTCACTGTTTGCCATCCACCACACAACTGGTTGTTGTTCAATTGTCTCTGGCATACAAAACCATTCTGTAGAGCTGTGACTTGTCTACTGTTTCAAGAACTAAGGAATTCTGTCAAACGACTGATGAACCTCTCCGGTCTTTGAATTAGGAAACAAATTTCAGGGAACCGGTGAAAGCCTTGTCAAAAGAAGAAATGGAAAATATGAGTCTTAAATATTACAACCCTGAAATTCACAAAGCTTCGTTTGTCCTCCCCGAGTTCGCAAGAAAGGTAAATGTTTAAACAATCCTTCATATTCAAAAGAATGTAATAAGTATTTAGAAGCTGTAAACAAAAACTATTTATTTTAACGCTGCATGTTTTTGTCCTGTGACAGGTACTGAATGACGCATGACCAGCAAAATCAGACCAAGACATTCATCCTCTACCTGGTCCTCAAACCACAGATAAACAACCTTGCTAGCTTAGCCTCAACAGGTTCAGTACCACTGAAGAGAGAAGCCACGAAAAGATTTTGTGATGGGGGTTTGCTGACACACACTGAGAAAGTGTTAGTTCACTTGGATGTTTCTTTTTCAGTCTTACACTTTCTAGGTGTTAATTTATTCACAGGATGTATTTGGTTTGTCATTTTTACTCTGTAATTGTCTTATCAGCATTTTGTGAAAAGCAGTAGAATGGGCTGGGCTGAGTGGGGAGAGTATTGGCATCAAACCTGACCTCACATTGAAACTGTGTACTGTTTATGGATTCACTGCATCCACATATTATGCAATATATTACATACCATATAGAGTATGTGTAATCTATTGCTGTACTTGTATTTGTTATGTATAGTATCAATCTGTACTCATAGGAAAACACAGACGCCATCTGTCATGACTGTATTTCTGGAATAATAATGATGTGTTCTCAACACGTGAACCCTATAGTGCCTCAAATTCATTGTTCCTTGTTAAAAAAGAAACACTGCTCTGCATCTATCGTGCTGTACCAGGCAGATAGAGTCCCAGACAAAAGCTGAACTGCTCCAGGTAGTTAATAAATATGAAATAAGTTCAAATGATTTAAGTGAGTCTCATCTTTGATTTCAAATAGAAGAATTAACATAACGGTGTAGAGTGAAATTAATGATGGCATTGGAGCTGAGCAATGCAAGGAAAGTATTTAAAATGTGAGTTCATTATGCAATCATATTTTGCAGTATTGGATATTTATGACCAATAGTGAGCTTGTACTATGGTTAGCCGGTATGCTGGGTCATTACATCGTCTTAACACATTTAGTTACCTCTTGGTTGTTAGTCCACATTGAATGTTTGTTGAGATGGTTTCACAAACCTAAACAATTGCTTTCATTTTTATATAAACTAATAAATTGGTAAAACACACTGGTTAATTTGAGATTTGTGTCTGATCAGTCACCTACTGATTTTGCTCCTTTATTTGTACGTAATAATGAATTAAAACAACAGATTTTAAGTTATGTACTGTATCTAAAGCTTCTGCAAGGAACTTTGTACTTTTGGCACTCCTGTAGAAAATGTGGTACCACGTCTCTTTGCTGTGTTGTAGATCTTGTTTGAATTTTATTTTAATAGACAAATATAAAGCTCATGCAGAATCTTTTCCATGAATAATGTAAACAAAAAGAAGTTAAACAAAAGGCTCTTGAGGCCCGAGTCTTTCACCAACCCCCGTCAGCTGTTTCAGATGTTCAAAATAACTATATAAACTAGGTCAACTTCATGCTGATTACCTTGTTTGCCTTTGTAAACCATAAAGAGGCATTTATATAAACTTCAGTCTGTTTCATTGGCTGCTCAAGAAATCTCAGAAGAGCTATTCAGTCACATTTAAGTAGCTTTCCTCCACAGGCACACAAAGAAGGTGGAATGAAAATCATTTGTGCAAGGTCTTTCCCGATGGTTATCACTTTACAGCCAAACACAGGTGGAAATGAGATGTATTTCAAGATCTGTTTCAGCTGCTGTTCACTGCACAGTGGATAGCATTTCATGAAAGTCAAGTGCGAACAGTCAGTTCTGAAGCCTCAGTGGGTCTATGTGTAGTTTCAATATTCAGGCACAGGATGGCAGCATTAAAACATTCATGCACAAGTGTAAGCAATTTCCACAGACTGTCGAGGTTTAAAGGCTTGATTTTAAATCAGTGTTCCCCTCAGAATCTGGCGTTTTCTTTGAATTTAGATGAAAAGCCCTTTGGCTTTCGTGAACTGCTCAGGTCAGTCAGTGTTTTTGCAGTTGGAAGCGTCACTGTTGCCCTCAGTTGCATCAACTTTCTTGTTGTGGAGACCCTCAGTCGTCACTGGTTTTATATTGAAAATTTGTCTTACCTTCAGCAGTGCTGCATATTATTGTGGCACTGCTACCACAATGGGTGACATTGGCAAACAAGACACTATAAGATTGTGAGTTTTTGTCAGTTTTCTTATTATGCAACAAAATGAATGAAACATAAATCCATTGCCTTAGACTGAGGCCATAGAAAGACCCATAAATATTTGATTTGATTTTTGCTTTGCACAGCAATGTCTGCTCTGCAAAAGCAGATTTGAAGGCAATGCATCAACTGCTTTTCCAAATACCTGTATAGGTCAATTAGAAATGTATACCTAACAGATAGGCATACCCCAACATGAACTCTGTGTTCCTTTTTGCTCTCTTTTAGAGTGTTATAGATGCTGTGCTGGAGGCCACACTTTAAAAGGTTGTAGCTAAAGTGGAGATTTTCACACATATCATTGTAAAATCTGGGGGAACCAGTTATCATGCTGACGTTAGCCTAAATTTTGATATCTGTTGCAGGCTGGACTGTGGAAAGCTCATTTTTAGAAGACCTGTTATTGTAGTGCTTCAAACACTATGAATTTCCACTAACCCCATTTCAACAGTCAGCTAATCTTTGGATATGCTCCAGGCCCTTTCAGGTCATCAGTGTATGAAGGAAATAACTCAAACACTGTTTCGATAGCACAACAAATCCGTTTGAACCCATAAACCGGGACAAACTGGAGTAAAAGTACTGTATGTTCACTGCCAGGAGCTCAATCTAAAGACGTCACAACAACAAATCTGTAAACTCTGACTAATTTCACTATTTTAGTAATATTTCCTGGAGGTTGATTGCAACTTTTCATACTATGGAAACAATTTTCTCCAGAAAGTTTGTTGTAATCAGCCTTCCATTATTAGTTTTCCTGAGGAGTTTGTCCCTTGAGAACAGTATAATTTGGTTTTGTAGTGCTTTAGAAACCCCTTTTTCTCCTTTCAAACTGTGAGTTACATTTATGGATGCCTCTGGCCTCAATATTTAGAAGTCCTCTGCATTAATTACATTTTTACATACCCTACATTATATGCATTCTATAATAATTTGTCGTTTTATTTGTTGCAACAGGAAAAACTCTTAATTGTTTGGGAAAGACTTGATGACAGTCAAAAAAAAAAAAATCAAAAGAGATTTTCTCATTTAAATTCATTATGTGAAAAAAACCTTAAACTGGCCGAGTTCAAATCGGCTTAGCTTGTAGCCTTTGTCTTCCTGGTAAGCCATAGGAGACTGGTTATGGTTGTAACACTCTTTGCTTAAAAACCTGTAACTCACTAAATGTTTAGGCTAGAATTTTCACATTTTTATGTCAAACATCCATGTTTCTTTTCAACAAATAAAACCAACTGAAGCATCTGCAAGAAAATTGTCAACTTTGTGAGTTGGCATCTAACACATGTGTGAGGTTTGTGTTATTAGTTAGTAAAAAGGAGCAAATAACAGAGGCCCCGCTGTGTGATATGCTTCAAAAAGAGGTTGATAGGACAGTATACTGCATTTTGTTTAAGTATTTAGTAGGTAGTTTTTTTCGTTTGTGGTTTTGGACACTACAATGGACACAAAAATATCTGGCCCTCCCCTGGCTGACTGTCTGCAGCAGAGGTCACAGATCTATTCCCCTCTCCTGTGGGTCAAACTATAAATTCAAAGCACACATCATAAAGATTTTGATAAATACAGCTTTTATCATCACATAATGCCCTTCATTGTGACTTCAGATGTTTTTTTTTTAATATTGGCACGGACTCCTCCGTCATTTTTATCACTTGCTGAGCACTCTGATAGACTATTAAGGTCAATAAGATACGATAGGTGGACTTTAAAGGAATTATAGTTGCATTTTTTAATGGTTAATGTGTGTCCTTACCCCTGCCAGCCAATGTTTAGTTATCTGTATCAGCACAGTGATTTATGAAGCAAAAGCAAGATGCAGCATATTTTGCCCAAGAAACTACAATGTCATCCAATTTAGGAACTGCAGTACATTCAAAACAAACTTTACACTTGATCAAAAATTACTTTCTTTTTACTGAATCAGTTTTTTTTTCTATGAAGAAACTAGATGTATCTGTTTATCGTCTCAAAAATCACCATGTGGAGGCAGGGAGGGAGTGGGTTAACACTAAAAGGATCATATGACTCCATGTTATCAGTTCAATTTAAACGGACCAATCATAAACAATATTACACACTAATTAATGCATATTAATATATTCAATTCATGATATACACAGTAATATATACAATTCAGCTTCATCTATGTAATCCCTGATAGTGGGTTTTGCAGTTTTCCTCATGTTACAACCATCCCTGCTCTCCTCTACATACTGTATTATCACAGTCAATACATTCAAATGAGAATTAGAAACTTGTGTCTTTTGTTCAAATAAAATTTAACAGACTTACAAACTGAAAAAGATATACAGTTGAATGCAACTTGCTGTCAGGAGTGTTCCTTACTTTTTCTTCCTAGCTTAACTTGTGACAAAAATATAAATGACATTTGGGAGAAACTGGAGTTTTCAGCTCCCCTTTCAGCTGAAACAAACTCAAACTTTTGTCAACTTAGCACAGTACAGGAGACTTTACTTCATGAACAGTCCTCCTGGGTGAAATTGGATAATTTACACACAAAGGAGTAAGATCTCCCTAGGCAGAAGATCAAGAATATGACAATAATTCATCATTTTCACCATTTCTGGAGTGGCCTGTTATTGCAATGAGTTGTTCATTGTACTTAGCTGACAAGCTAATTCAGAAGCTGCATTTAATCCTTATGGGCCAGTTGTGGGAGCAAATTGAAAAAAAAAAAAAACTTGCTTGGTGTCATAATAGAAATAGTCAAATCTTTTTTATATTTCTTCCCATATAATAAGACTATTGTTGTGACTGATGTCTAATTTGACAACTCTGAATCATGCTCAGACCATCTGACTTTCATATCTTTATCAGCAGCTGTCTTACATTTTCTATTAAGCTATACACACGGCAGTCACAGGCAGCGGCAGACACTAAGTCGTCACATACACGATGGCGCCACGCACAAATTGTTCCCAGGTTTTTTTCATAGCAACCATCGGCTCCCCTGCACCAAGCATTCTGGGAAACACAGGGATGTGTGCTGAGCATCCCTTTGTGATAGAAAATAAAATCATCCTTACCTAGTATGGACAGTGCTAAACTGTTGCGTGAATAAACCTTGCATGGTGGTGGTTTGTTTGAAAAGAGACCTAAATTCCAGACAATAAGTGAAGCATCAGAGATGGACAGCATGCCCGAAAGCAAATCATTTGTTTGTCTGTGGATAAGCATCGTTAAAGCTAAGCAGCAACCCTGACAAATATGAGGACATCACAGAAGTGCTAAAAACTGAAGCTACGTACCAGTCATACTTATGTTAAAACATGCATTTTACAGTCAAATTAACCATGTTCAAAGGCAAGTACCAGGGAAAGATTCTGGTCTGAATTAGGGATGGATACCCGCAATTCACAGATTCCTTAGATACTGTACATGACAGAAAATACCGTCAAGATGTCCCTCTCAGTATTTATGATCTACATTCTGCATACATTTTTCAATATTTGACAGCTGTTTGCCAAACAGCCAAGTAAACACTTTATTAAAGCCAGTTATTTTTTTCAGTTATTGGTTCTAATGAAATAGTTTTATCAAAAAGCTGCAGCTTATTTTACCTTTTACATTTAAGAAGCAATTTTAAAATTGTTTCTCACTGATTGAAAGAAAACTGAACCACGGACCACGGTGGTCCTCTCTTTCTAAAAATATATATATTTTTCCTATTGAATCAACCTTTATTTTGCCAAGAATATTTCCGTTGAGATACAGAAGTTCTTTCTTTAGAAAGTCCTGTAACAATTCAGAGGTAAGATCACTCATATGAGACAACTGTCACTCTGTTGTAGTTGGTGCGTATCTGTTCATTAACTGAGAGCTCCACCAATAGGTTTACATCAAGCTTTATGATTTATGATTAGATGATCCTACACTACACTACACTTGTTGATTAACTGCCAGTTGCCTCAACTAACTTTAAAGAGGCACAGTTAGAGGGAAAACAGATTAAATCGAACAACTTCACATGTCATCTTTTTTATTGCTGGGCAAAAAAAAAAAAAAAAAAAAAAAAGTTACTCAAAGCTTCACTTAATCTCATTTCACACCAAAGTCATGTGCAAGAACAACTCTCCTTTGAAAGTGTGTTTATGCTTATAAATTGGTGCTAAGCAATCTCCAAGTATAATGCCTCAAGTCTTAGTGAGTGCCAGACCATTCGATTGTAATCTGCAGGTGTCAAAGCAGCGCATAGATACACAGTGTCAGAAATCAGATGCTGATAAAAGCGCTCTGTCAAACACTGGGATACAAACACAAGCAGTGATTGGGTTTCTTGTGGTCTATTTGTCATTTATGTGCTTTTGATTGCTGACTTAGGAGGAGTGGGAGTGTTTAGTTGACCCCTGATAACTTCAGGAATTGTCTGCCCACCTACATCAGAGGGTCTAGTTTCTTATATTGTCCATCTTCGCGGTGGATGCATCAGCCCCATGTTGATGTCAGAACCTGGTTTTAGCCCTGTGACGTCTTGTCTGCCGCAGATGTTCCCTTTGGTGAATTGCATGAATACAACCACCTCCCAATTTGTCAAAAAGGTTAATGCTGAACGCTTCCATTTGTTCTGTCCTGAACCCTTCATCTCCCCTCCTCTTCCACACTCACACAACACCCAAACTCATACACACACACACACACACACACACACTCTCCACCGTCAGTCATACATACACCCACCACCTTCTACGTCATTGGCGGAGGAGTAGGGGGGGAGAGGGCTATAAAAGAGTGAGGGACTTTGGAGGTAAAGCAGAAGAAACATTAGTGGTTTCCAAATCTTTGTGATATCAAGAACTGCTCTGCACTTCCTCCACCACTCTCATCTGCCTCTCTCTCTCTCTTACACACACACACTCACACACCTCTCTCGGTGAGCCTCCTGCTCCTGTGACTGTAGCCCCGGTCTGTCACCTGCTCTCCTGTCACAGCATGCAGCTGTTGGTGGTGTTAGCAGCTCTCATGGGGGTTCTGTGCAGCGTGAGGGCAGCAGCCGTGCTTCCTGTGGACGACAGGAGTCCCATCCATGTGAACAGGGTATGAATAGTGATTTGATTCTGTTTTATATCTACAAGTGGGAGAGATTTGTCCCTGTTTAACTGCTATTTGGTTGAAATTATTTTTGGTAAAAAAAGAAAAAAGTTAGAAATTGTGAATTTTTAAATGACTTATTTAAGATTCTTTTGTAATAAAGTAAAATAAATTGTGGAATTGCATTTGAAAAGACTTAAACTAAAAATGTCTTCTTCTTACTATGTTTTACTGTCTTTAATAGGTCAAATGAAAGATTCTTGAGGTTAAGCTCCTCATTCATTTGTTAAATTATCATTTACTACAACGTACTGCTAGAATGATTTAAGACAAAATAACTAAACCTGCTATTCCAGAATTTTTTTTTTTGTAGATTGTTCAATTTATCTTGTTTCAGACTTTATATTACTCTTTTTTTCAGTGAAAGGGGTAAAATATAACACCTCTTGGTGTTTGAGCTACCACTCAGATGTTGTTTTTTTACATTTTCATCATCAGTTTCTAATCTTCTTTTGTCATTTTCTGATTTTCCCTCAGGAGCTGAGCAAAGAGCGCAAAGAACTGATTCTGAAGCTGGTGTCGGGCTTGCTGGACGGAGCCCTTGACACCAACATGCTGCCGGGAGAGATGGCCCCTGTGGACCTGGAAGAGCCGCTGGAGTCTCGTCTGGAGGAGAGAGCCGTCTACAACAGGCTATCACTGCCTCAGCGTGACCGCAAAGCCCCCTGTAAAAACTTCTTCTGGAAAACTTTCACCTCCTGCTAACAGAGCCAAAATGAAAAAAAGAATAAAAAACCAAACACCTGGATTCTGTCGGCCAACTGTACTCCTCACCTCCTGGCTCCTCATGAACTATAGTAAACCTCAGCTGTATATACCTCATCTGCACCTGTCACACTCAGCATCCATGGACTTCACTGAGACAGTGTGGCTGTTTAGATAGTCATGATTTATGTACCAATTTACCCATACAATGTATGTATTTATGTATGTTTCTTTCAGGGTTAACAATAAAGCATGGACACAATGTTTGACAGGGTAATCACAGTTCATCTGTTCTGGAAATCTTTCACAAAAAGACACGATTCTATGAAAAATTCACGACTGCATTTTCATGATGGATTACAACACTTTCACACCAAAATAGTATTTTAGTTTTGCCGACTGAAATATGTTTCTAGAACAGGTTGCAGTTGTAAATTGGTGTAAATTAGAGATACAGACACATTTTACCATCATTAAAAGCCAACCAAATGGCATTTTTATTTGTTTATTCATTTTTTTTCCTTTTACTGCTGCTCTTTAAACGTAACAGCACAATTTTCACAGCGTAAACACTTCGGTTCTCTTCCTACTCTACAGCCAAATGAATTATTCAATAAGAAATCTTAAAAAATCTTTGTGAAATAAACAATCCTAAATAAAGAAGCAAACTTTACAACGGCACCAGAATTGCAATCTGGATTAAACGTTAGTTACTTATTTATGAGTGATGGAATACAGTTAAAAATTGATGTAGGCAATTAATTCATGTTAAAAAAACTTCACAAAAATAGACATATATGTTTTTAATCACAATTTGGTGGCAAAATTTGCGCAAGAAAGTCTTTTGCAAAAGTTTAATTTGATGTCCTTATTAATTCCTCGTCACAAGCTGAGGCAGATGCCGTGGCCGATGTTGCAGTTGCCCACTCGCTGTTAGACATGTCAGGTCTATTGGAAGCTCAATAAATCACAAGCAGTCACCCCTCCTCCCTTACCCAGCTGTGTTCACTCAATGCTGTCAATTGATGGCAGCAGTAGTTACTGTATAGCCTAGACGGTGGAGCCTGTTAAACAGTCTTATAGCAAAAAAGATGAGAACTCTAAACAAGGAGTGAAGTATATCTACAAATCTGACTTCAATCTTAGATATAGCGAAGACACTGCTGCTGCATATAGATGATAATGCGTTTCCCCCATGACCCTCTAAAGTCTTGCAGCAACTCAGACTCAATCAGAGACGCTGTAATTACCATAGACTCTAATAGCCTGTCTGGAATCTAGAGCTGGTGATATGTGTGTGTTTATGGATGGATGGATGGAGTAGGTGGCAGTCAGAATATAAAAACAAGTTATACGATGAGCATATGGTTCTTTTGAGTTTCCTTATGACTTCTGAGGAAGACATTACATACTGGTCTAGTATTTTGCTGTTTGAACCAGTTAAGATATATTTTTGTGTTTTGAATAAATAAGTAATCTTAACTTTAAAAAATGACCAACAATCACCCAAGACTTTGCATGAGAGAATGCTGATTAATGGGTGGATGTGTGACAGTCTCAAAGGCACATGTTTCACTGACATCCATTCATCTACATGGATAAACACACACGTAAAAACATATTCATACATGCAGGCATGTATGCACACATACACAGTATAGGGTAAACCAAAACTTTTCTAGTACTTTTGTACATCTCCTTCTCTCCTGGCTCTGATCAATGAAAAAGAAACCTACCTTCAGTTGAAAAAAAAACCCTCCTTGCTCTATATTCTACTATTTTCCTTTCACAACTGACTGCAGCTTAAATCTATCAGCTGAAAGCTAAAACCAACATCCATGCAGCTACCCCCCAGTGAATGCTCTGTTTGGAGATTCTCATTGGCAGTAGCCTAATTAAGCCGGCTGCTTAGCAGAGATTTTGCACTGCACATTATTCTAGTGACAGACTCTCTGAAATGTGTGAAATAAGCTAAAGTTACTCACTGGAATACCCACAGAGCCCACAGGTATCTTTTGTCATATCTGTAAGGTGCCACAGATTGTTTATGGTTAGATAATAATTCATACTTTTGATAGATTAGTTTTCTGCAAAACTTTCTTCACCATGGATTATTGGGCTCTTTATGGAGCTAAAGACCTGAGGCAATTGCATGTATCTTTGTCTGGTGGTAAAATCTGCTGTTTTTATGTGAGAAAGAAAAACTGCATGAGCCCAATACATTTTCCATGATGTTTGACAATTTTTTCTCATCATTAACTTTTCCTGTTGTCTTTAGCAAAGTGTTTCTCTAAACACAGTTGAAGGCATGTGATGTTCGTCAGATGTGGTTGTTAGTGTTACAGACTCAGACAGATGATGATGATGATTATTATTATTATTATTATTATTATTATTATTATTATTTTATCTTATCATGTTCTCTGTGAGTCTTTATCTAAGGCTCATATTCTAAGGCACTCTGTTACAAATGCAACAGACTACTCAAATTATCGGTGACATTTTCAGAAACATGATACAGATCCGATGGAATAACTATAACATGACAAACACAGATCTTTATAAATAGGTAAACAATGTCTTCAACAGATGTCTCTTACAACCGTTAATTGTTGCAGACTATAGGCGCCTGTGAAATGTATGAAAATATGCCAGCAGAGTTTGCAGGTATCCTACACAGGCAGACTACAAAGAAAGCTGTGAGTAGACTCCAAACACTCCTTAAAAATAGTTCTCTGTCTCATTATCCTCACAAACAGGATGAATAGGAGATAATGAAACATAAATATGCTTATTTCACAGGTGCAAAGAATCTTCTCCACAAAAAAATAACAATCCTGATTCAGTTAAAGATGAAGATTAAAGCCCGTGGTGACGATCATTTCTTTTTCTTTTATTGTTTTGATGTAGGTGTGAGAGAGTTGGAGAGAATAGCTAGTCAACGATCCATCCTGACTCAGAGATCTCCTGAAAACAGCACTTGATGGTGAGTTACAGTTCCTTGAATTTCAAAGCAGTGTAATTACATGCATGAAACTGTGCTCTGTCGCTCCCTTTAATGATCTTAAAAAGACAAAAGCTCTGATAGGCTGTCTTGATTACAGTTCAACTTGCAGTATCTTTTACTTTATCATTCCTTTGACAGACTGTGAAAGAGTATCACTAAGAAATAACACCTTCACAACCTGTGGGAGAGTAACTAATCTGTACATATGATGATGACAGAACCCATCATTTTGATGGAGGACAAAAATGTTCTGAACAAAAGGATGTGAACTTTTAAAGAACTACCTCCAGAGCCAATCAGTATCTCTGGAGTCTAAACATAAAATAATTTACCGTTAGAAGGGTTGCCATCCACTCTGCACTTTACGGCCCTGGGCTCAAATGAGCGAGCAGAAGAGCAACATCAAAGCTGATGCCTGTAAGCGAAACGTTTTATTGGCTTTCCTTTTGATCTGAACGAAGAGGCAAAGCAGTACACTGGCCCAACTATGTAATTCAAATTCATATGTGCCGGTGTTTAAAAATAACAAATACTCTAGTTCTGTTCTGTTGCTGCTCTACATAGAAGGAAGGGACAACTTCAAAGTAAACCCACCACAATAGCGCTTTACATGTCACCTGGAAACTGACTTCTAATTATCAAAGTAGAACAGGGAAATATGCACAGCCACAAACATGAGGAAATAACAGGTGGATATTAGGAGGTATTCATTATCTCCTCTTCAGCAACCTGACAACAACTGCTACCAGACAACACCCACCCAGCAAAAAGTGGTTGAAAAGACATCTTCACCTTACGTCTGAACAACATCTAGATTGGACCATCTAAATAAAGCTCAGTGTTTGATGTCTTTTTCTGGGCTAAATTACGGCCATGACTGGCCGACGTGATTTAGCCTGAAAAAAGACATCCGAGTGACGCCAGGCGTTTGGTGGGCAAGCTCTACACCCACTGTAAACAGTACCAAATTTAACAACTGGCTAGCACACAAAAGAGAATATCTAAGAATGTGCTATGCAGAGGTAGGATTCCTCGTCGGACAAAGCATAAAAGAGCTGGCCTTTGTTGTGGTTTGTGTTGACTGCTCAGGCCAAACTAAAATGAGAAGGTGTCATCTTCAATACAAAGTGCCACTTTTGTAACCTGGATACCTTCAAAAGATGCACTGGAACCAACTAGCAATTTATATTTCAAGATAATTTGAAGTTTCAATGCCCCTTTCAGATTCTTAAATCTTAAACCAATTGAGCTGAAGTCCAATAATGTCAAACCTGTATGTACTTATTTGAAGCATGCACTGTTTGAAGTGAATTAGGGTACATTTCAAATAAGGTTAATTTTACATCTCGCATAACAAACAGAAAAAAAGAAAACTCCTGTTATGCTCTTCCTTATTTGTCATCTACTAAATTATACAGTGGGTGTGCAAGTTTTGTTTGAGAGGCAGAGATGAATTTGTGAGCAGTCTGCAGACATGCACTTGTACTTTATTAACCCAGCAGCTCTGAACACGACGCCAGAGGCAGCCTTATTCATCCCTGTCAGCCGGACTCAATTTGTTTAGTGGTGACATTTTAGATAGGTTGTGTCCAGAGCACTGAACTAATGCAGTATGGTTGACTAACTGAGGCCTTTTGAAGTCAAATAAATATAAAAATGACAACTTCTGGGGAAAAAAAAGGCGAAGTGCCAGTCACAGTAACAAACCTGTCTCTCCAGGTATGCAGCAGGTTTGCATCGCACTGTGGAGAGATTGCTTTTCAATAGTGACACCCTGTTATCAGGTGAACATAGAAGTGACTCTATTTATAAGTTAGTGCTTTCTGACACTCATTTCTGTACGGCATTAACCACTTGATCAGTGACTGGATGTTGTAACATGCTGTGACAAGATTTCGTGAGAGATTTCAAGGACACCTTAAAGAGCAACATAATACTAAACAGGGTTTGTTGATGGCTTAATGATGATTGCTTATTGTGACCGAGGAAAGCATGCGAGCTAGTACTAAACAGGCTGAACTGCTGGTGTATTTCTATCATAGAGTTCTCCTGTTCGGGAGCAACAACAGGAATGGAAAGATTGTTTCCCGCAGCAGGGCATAATGATGCCTGATGGCTTATTCTGCCGCCCAGTGCCACTGCTAAAAGCTGATCATTACAGGGCCCTCTGCTCTCTCTGTGGTGAAGCCATGGCTCACAAAATGAGCTGTCAGCTGCATGAGGAAGGTATGCAGAGCCCTAGTCACAAAAAATGATCCTGTTTATTGTATATGCCACTTCTTCTGGGGGCTGAGTAGGTTTGTGGTTCGGCAGGAAAACACAGGGTTTTCCCTGATATTATTCAAAATAAGCTTTGAGAGATGAAGGAAGCAAACCACAGGATTCATTTAGCAGTGCACAAAGCAGCAGTCTTATCAGATGTCTCAAACCGGGTCTTATTAGTGTGCTTATACAATGACATCCACCTCATAAACTCTGCCGCCTTCACAATGTAATTGGGACTTCCAGTAAAAGATATGAATAAAAACAAAAACCTCAGAGGTTTTGACTGCTTTATTCTCACTATAACAAGACTGTCTGCAGCCATGCTAGCAGCTCTGTGAGGTTATTTAAATCTAAATGGTGCCTGACGAGTTCAGTTGAAGAGCTAATTCATTATGCTTACATGCCCACATTGTCAAAGCTAACATGCTGACGTGAAACCTTTGCTGTTTACTATGTTTACCATCTATGTTAGCATTTATAAATGCAAAGATCACACAAGGACTGAGGGCATTTTAATAGTTTTGCTGGTAGTCAAGGGGGAAAAAAAGTGTGGTTCCAGAAATTCAGTCTTGTACATTAGCATGACCCATGAGAATTTTCCTTGCACATTAAAAAAAGTCTGTGTTGAGTTGTGAAATAAAACCAGGCACTGTCTCTGTGAGTCATATTCCCTGTGGTAGGCAGTTTCAGAGTCTGGGATCTCTGAACACATAAGCTCCA